ACATCGAGACGACGTCTCAGTTTTATTCAGGAAACCAACTACAGCGTCTTGATCAAGTCCCTCTTTTATGTATTCAAAGATCTGTGGGATTTTATCAAAAGAAAATTGTCCCCGAAAATTATTCCAAAAATTATGCTTCAGGCTGTTGAAAGAAACATAAATTGCCTACCACAAAAAATACATTGTTGCAAGGTGCATTTCTTAAAAAAAATATTAAGGCTCATAGGGTTTATATAAAAAATATATCTGGTTTTGCAGCTGTAGCTGAAATATATCTAATCTCCAGACAAATCCCAATAAGCCAACTTACAAATAACACAAACCGCCGTCAAAGAAGTCCGAAACAGAGCACCGTAGGTTAAGCACGTCAGGGAATGCGCTGTCCCACTTTCATGGTTCTTGTGTTACCTGAGACTGTAGACACGACCACAAGCCAGCCACACAGGTCAGGGACACAAGACACAAGTCAGTGTCACAAGCCAGCCACACAGGTCAGGGACACAAGACACAAGTCAGTGTCACAAGCCAGCCACACAAGTCAGTGACACAAGTCAGCCACACAGGTCAGTGACACAAGCCAGCCACACAGGTCAGGGACACAAGACACAAGTCAGCGACACAAGTCAGTGACACAAGCCAGCCACACAGGTCAGGGACACAAGACACAAGTCAGTGTCACAAGCCAGCCACACAGGTCAGGGACACAAGACACAAGTCAGTGTCACAAGCCAGCCACACAGGTCAGGGACACAAGACACAAGTCAGTGTCACAAGCCAGCCACACAAGTCATTGACACAAGTCAGCCACACAGGTCAGTGACACAAGCCAGCCACACAGGTCAGGGACACAAGACACAAGTCAGCGACACAAGTCAGTGACACAAGCCAGCCACACAGGTCAGGGACACAAGACACAAGTCAGTGTCACAAGCCAGCCACACAGGTCAGGGACACAAGACACAAGTCAGTGTCACAAGCCAGCCACACAGGTCAGGGACACAAGACACAAGTCAGTGTCACAAGTCAGCCACACAGGTCAGGGACACAAGACACAAGTCAGTGACACAAGTCAGCGACACAAGTCAGTGACACAAGTCAGCAACACAAGTAAGCGACCCTAGTCAGTGACCCATGTCAGCAACACAAGTCAGTGTCACAAGCCAGCCACACAGGTCAGGGACACAAGACACAAGTCAGTGTCACAAGCCAGCCACACAGGTCAGGGACACAAGACACAAGTCAGTGACACAAGTCAGCGACACAAGTCAGTGACACAAGTCAGTGACACAAGTCAGTGACACAAGTCAGCGACACAAGTCAGTGACACAAGTCAGCGACACAAGTCAGCGACACAAGTCAGTGACACAAGTCAGTGACACAAGTCAGTGACACAAGTCAGCGACACAAGTCAGTGTATTACACCGGTTAATATAGCTCACACCCACACGTCATAGCTGTGCAACAAGTGGAGCCGGGTTATGTTTTGCTGTCAGTGTTGGAGTAGCTGTGGTGACGTTATGACGTATGGTGCTGCCCCAGTAGTTGACGTTAATGGGATCCGTCATTCGTCATGAAAAGAAGGACTGGATTACTCTCGGTGAGGACGTGAATATATCTACGCCGGTAAGTTCAGTTGTCTTTCACTCTGTGTGTAATAGTTGTTTGAATAACGCAAAAATCGACCTATTGTACAATAACGCATTTCTTTCTCCGAGAATATGAAATTAATGTATTCCATATCATCTCGCCAGAATGTTTTGATTTCAAACTGGCGGATCCAGAGTGTTTTCGGCCTACGAAATTTTGGATTATGTGGGGACATCTCTTCTCTCCTCTCCTCTCCTCTAAGGGAGCGCGGGTGGCCCAGTCGTCTTAGGCGCCGCAATTCGCTGTGCAGAGTTGCGTCCCTTGGGCATGCCAGAAACCTATGATTGTGGTTCTATTCCAGGTTCGCCCCGTTTGTTTTTGGTGGGTTTCACGGAGGTGGTAAACGTCTGTGACCTGCATCACTTCGGGGTTTCCTTGAATACTGTTAAAGCCAACCCTCTCACACCTCTCATTTCTGAGGTTTGTCAGTTTGACGGTTATTTCGTCAGTGTGTGTGTGTGTGTGTGTGTGTGTGTGTGTTTGTGTGTGTGTGTGTGTGTGTGTGTGCTGAATTAGTGTTCAAAGCAGCGTAAAACACCTCTCTCTCGCTATGCTACACGGAAATCTACACAAATAATACAGGTTTCAGACGAAATGAATATTTAAAAGTTTCAATATCAAAACAAAGATTTGTTCGATTATCATAGATCGATACCTATCTAAACCATGTGTAATCTAACCTGTTCAAGCCACACCCAAACGACATAAATATTTGGACTTGATGCCAAACCAGGTGATAAATGCAAAATGCAAATTGTTGTTGTCAGGATATGAAACTCTTCCCTTGTTCCAGAGTCCGTCCCGAGCGTGGCCAGATGACTCGGTTACACTCATTAATATGCATATGTCAAAGTTCAGTGAACACACCCACTCCGGGTTAGGTACGGGGTCGCCCACCACTGTTTGTTTGTTGTTTAGCGCCGGACTCAGCAATATTCCAGCCAAATGACGGCGGTCTGTAAATAAGCAAGTCTGGACCAGACAATCCAGTGGTTGACATCCTGAGCATCGATCCACGAAATTGGGATACGATGACATGCATCAACCAAGTCAGCGAGTCTGACCACCTGATCCCGTTAGTCGCCTCTTACGAGAAGCATAGTCGCCTTTTACGGCAAGCATGGGTTGCTGAAGACCTGTTCTACCCGATGTGTACACTGTACAGATGAACGTGGGCGTACACTAAAGTGAAAGTAAATCTAAGCACTTTTGCTGACAGAGGAATATTGTGTTGTGATCTCTGTAGTCCCCAGTCTCCTCACCCGTCTGCCTGTATATCCTGGTGTGTGTCCATATATCACCACTAGACAGTCTATATCACTGGATATATCACCACTAGACAGTCTATATCACTAGATATATCACCACTAGGCAGTCTATATCACTAGATATATCACCACTAGGCAGTCTATATCACTAGATATATCACCACTAGGCAGTCTATATCACTAGATATATCACCACTAGACAGTCTATATCACTAGATATATCACCACTAGACAGTCTATATCACTAGATATATCACCACTAGACAGTCTATATCACTGGATATATCACCACTAGACAGTCTATATCACTAGATATATCACCACTAGACAGTCTATATCACTAGATATATCACCACTAGACAGTCTATATCACTAGATATATCACCACTAGACAGTCTATATCACTAGATATATCACCGTCAGACACAAGAATAAGGTTGTCATTCATGATAGATTCTAACTATGAGGGATTCATTTTAATATTGCGATCACGATGTACATACTGCGGGCTGTGATATTATATAAACATCGGATGTTATAATACAACACACACTTCTGTACAATGGGTAATTGTATTCATGTCAGTGTTGTACTGTTAATATGGAAGATCATAGCCGTCATACAACCACCAGCTGTGACGTCAATGACCTCGTGACGTGCACGTGCTTGGTGTGTAAACACTCCTTTCTCCGTACAGTGAAAACACACACAATAACATATTAATGTATGCGTTAAAGTATGAACGCCGCTGTACAAATATATTTTTGAGAATTAACACTATCAAAAGTAACTATCGTGTAAACTGTTTTCATCTTACATAACAATGGACTCGTGAAGATCAGGGTTAGAAATGATCTTCAGCGACCCATGCTTGTCGTATGAGGCGACTAACGGGATCGGGTGGTCAGCCTCGCTCAACAAACAAACAAACAAACAAACAAACAATGATAAATCGAGTGTTTAAAATTGAATTTGACCCAAATGAAAGCAGCCGCCGAAACATAAGATTTAACACACAACAATTACATCACCATCTTAATCACCATCACCATCACCAAAAAATCACCCTTTTATAATTTTATTTTTACCATCAAACATGGATGTATACTTTCTGTTGCTGGCAGTTTATATCACTAAACATGTTCTCATATCCATATCTAATAGCACCCGTGAATCCTGCAAAACACTCTTAATCTCAGTCTGGCAAGTTGTATTGTGGGTACCCGTAAGGTTGATAACTTTAACGACTGAAAGACGGCTGCTGTATAAGAGTGGGGACTGTATATAAGCTGTTACACCTCGACCTCTCGGCCCGTGAACATCCGGGTTAGAATAGGTCTTCAGCAACCATGCTTGTCGTAATAGGCGATTATGCGCTTGTCGTATGAAGAGACTAACGGGATCGGGTGGTCAGACTCGCTGATTGGTTGATGCATATCATCGTATTCCACTGGATAGTCCTACTGGATCACTGGATTGTGCGGTCCAGACTAAACTTGATTTAAACGTATGTTAGCCAGCTACATAATACCCAAGTCACGAGGGCGCAGTGAATATGTAAAGTATCTGGAAAAAGGAGGAGTGAGTGAGTGAGTCAGTGTAGTTTCACGCCGCATTTAGCAATATGCTAGCAATATCACGGCGGGGGACACGAGAAATGGGCTTCACACATTGTACCCATGTCGGGAATCGAACCCGGGTTTTCGGCGTGACGAACGGACGCTTTAACCACTAGGCTACCCGACCACCCCGGAAAAAGGAGGATGTGTGTTCACACCCGCTGTACCCCACTGTACTGTACATTTTTACTATTGATATAATTATAAAGATAAATGTAGATTATTATAATAAATAATCTATTATGGTGATAAATAATCGCAAATCAACACACAGACAACATATAATAAATTATAGCCTGTCTCCAAGTTCGCCAGCCTGTTCACTGCAGCGTTACGTTGCGCTACGCTCGGCTGCATTTGACCTTTTATAGTATACAAGAGCGACCCCTCTTTACTGATGTCACTGGCTCCTTACACAGTATAGCTTGTCAACCATATCTGCTACGTTAACGACGTACAGTGTTGACGTGAAATCACATGTCATCCATAATGTAATACTATTGACTTCTGGAACAGGTTCTTTAAAACCGTATATCTAAAGTGTTTCACTTGTGTCGAAAGATCTCCTTCCTGATACATATCAACGTGTTTTAAAGCAGGTAGACTTCAGTAAAACGCTAGGCTGTCTTGTCATACTGGAAGCCCTTTATGACGCGTGGTCGATAGAAGTCATGCGTAACGTATGGATTTCCTGGCTCGGCCAATTGTTAACAATAGCGGCCTCGCTGAATGTAATATGATATCAGTGGTCTCACCAACATTCTCGGATATAGGCCGTGACTCAGGCAATCGTGTCTAGTTTTGAAAGGTGTGTACAGTAATTTGCATGTTTTTACGTTCAGTTCTTTACATTGAAGTTTATAAGTTCCTGTTTAGATTTGATATTCATTTGCACAGGGGAACGAGGAGAGGTTGGAAGCAATATCGACATTGTACAACCGTGGATACAGCAGGAAGGCATACTTCATCTAGTAACGGGATATCTTTGTGATTGTTGAAGGTAAGGACTTAGACTGCATAGTTTGTGTCTGTCTGTCCGTCTGTCACTCTCTGTCTGTCCGTCTGTCTCTCTGTCTGTCTGTCCGTCTCTCTCTATCTCTCTGTGTCTGTCCGTCTGTCACTGTGTCTGTCAGTCTCTCTCTCTGTCTGTCTTTCTGTCTCTCTCTCTCTGTCAGTCTCTCTCTCTCTGTCTGTCTGTTAACAGTGTCCATACTTTCACTGCATCAACACAATCCAAGGTTCACGGTGTCCCCGACAGACCTCGTGACTGTGTTTATAGTCTTTCAACCGTGACTGTGGCTGTCTAACATACGTTTTAATCAAGTTAATACTTCGGTTCTCCTGATTAGAATCCATGACAACATATTCTGCATTACCCGTAGTGTGACAAAAGGTCATATTCAAAACGTGACAAACCTGCATTTCACGTCAACCAGAGCGTGACGTGTGGCACCGAGAACAGCGCGGAATCAAGGTCAACCGAGGAACATGGCAGAATAACAGGTGCTTATAACACACTGTAGCAAGAGTTGTTTACAGTTGTGTGGTATATGTTTATAACACGGTGTAGCCAAAGGCTGTTTACAGTTGTGTGGTATATGTTTATAACATGGTGTAGCCAAGGGCTGTCTACAGTTGTGTGGTATATGTTCATAACATGGTGTAGCCAAGGGCTGTCTACAGTTGTGTGGTATATGTTCATAACACGGTGTAGCCAAGGGCTGTCTACAGTTGTGTGGTATATGTTTATAACACGGTGTAGCCAAGGGCTGTCTACAGTTGTGTGGTATATGTTCATAACATGGTGTAGCCAAGGGCTGTCTACAGTTGTGTGGTATATGTTTATAACACGGTGTAGCCAAGGGCTGTCTACAGTTGTGTGGTATATGTTCATAACATGGTGTAGCCAAAGGCTGTCTACAGTTGTGTGGTATATGTTCATAACATGGTGTAGCCAAAGGCTGTTTACAGTTGTGTGGTATATGTTCATAACATGGTGTAGCCAAAGGCTGTTTACAGTTGTGTGGTATATGTTCATAACATGGTGTAGCCAAGGGCTGTCTACAGTTGTGTGGTATATGTTCATAACACGGTGTAGCCAAGGGCTGTCTACAGTTGTGTGGTATATGTTTATAACACGGTGTAGCCAAGGGCTGTCTACAGTTGTGTGGTATATGTTCATAACATGGTGTAGCCAAGGGCTGTCTACAGTTGTGTGGTATATGTTTATAACACGGTGTAGCCAAGGGCTGTCTACAGTTGTGTGGTATATGTTCATAACATGGTGTAGCCAAAGGCTGTCTACAGTTGTGTGGTATATGTTCATAACATGGTGTAGCCAAGGGTTGTTTACAGCTGTGTGGTATATGTTCATAACATGGTGTAGCCAAAGGCTGTTTACAGTTGTGTGGTATATGTTCATAACACGGTGTAGCCAAGGGCTGTCTACAGTTGTGTGGTATATGTTCATAACATGGTGTAGCCAAGGGCTGTCTACAGTTGTGTGGTATATGTTCATAACATGATGTAGCCAAGGGCTGTCTACAGTTGTGTGGTATATGTTCATAACATGGTGTAGACAAGGGTTGTTTACAGCTGTGTGGTATATGTTCATAACATGGTGTAGCCAAGGGCTGTCTACAGTTGTGTGGTATATGTTCATAACATGGTGTAGCCAAGAGCTGTCTACAGTTGTGTGGTATATGTTCATAACATGGTGTAGCCAAGGGCTGCCTACAGTTGTGTGGTATATGTTCATAACATGGTGTAGCCAAGGGTTGTTTACAGCTGTGTGGTATATGTTTATAACATGGTGTAGCCAAGGGCTGTCTACAGTTGTGTGGTATATGTTCATAACATGATGTAGCCAAGGGCTGTCTACAGTTGTGTGGTATATGTTCATAACATGGTGTAGCCAAGGGTTGTTTACAGCTGTGTGGTATATGTTCATAACATGGTGTAGCCAAAGGCTGTTTACAGTTGTGTGGTATATGTTTATAACATGGTGTAGCCAAGGGCTGTTTACAGCTGTGTGGTATATGTTCATAACATGGTGTAGCCAAGAGCTGTCTACAGTTGTGTGGTATATGTTTATAACACGGTGTAGCCAAAGGCTGTTTACAGTTGTGTGGTATATGTTTATAACATGGTGCAGCCAAGGGCTGTTTACAGTTGTGTGGTATATGTTTATAACATGGTGTAGCCAAAGGCTGTTTACAGTTGTGTGGTATATGTTAATAACATGGTGTAGCCAAGGGCTGTTTACAGTTGTGTGGTATATGTTTATAACATGGTGTAGCCAAAGGCTGTTTACAGCTGTGTGGTATATGTTTATAACATGGTGTTGCCAAGGGCTGTTTACAGCTGTGTGGTATATGTTTATAACATGGTGTAGACAAAGGCTGTTTACAGTTGTGTGGTATATGTTTATAACATGGTGTAGCCAAGGACTGTTTACAGTTGTGTGGTATATGTTTATAACATGGTGTAGCCAAGGGCTGTTTACAGTTGTGTGGTACATGTTTATAACATGGTGTAGCCAAAGGCTGTTTACAGTTGTGTGGTATATGTTAATAACATGGTGTAGCCAAGGGCTGTTTACAGTTGTGTGGTATATGTTTATAACACGGTGTAGCCAAAGGCTGTTTACAGTTGTGTGGTATATGTTTATAACATGGTGTAGCCAAAGGCTGTTTACAGTTGTGTGGTATATGTTAATAACATGGTGTAGCCAAGGGCTGTTTACAGTTGTGTGGTATATGTTTATAACATGGTGTAGCCAAGGGCTGTCTACAGTTGTGTGGTATATGTTTATAACATGGATTAGCCAAGGGCTGTTTACAGTTGTATGGTATATGTTTATAACACGGTGTAGCCAAGGGCTGTTTACAGTTGTGTGGTATATGTTTATAATATGGTGTAGCCAAGGGCTGTTTACAGTTGTGTGGTATATGTTTATAACATAGTGTAGCTAAGGGCTGTTTACAGTTGTGTGGTATAATATGTTTATCACATTGTAGCAAGAGCTATCAAGTTGTGTGGTATATGTTTATAACATGGGGTAGCCAAGGGCTGTCTACAGTTGTGTGGTATAATATGTTTATAACATGGTGTAGCCAAGGGCTGTTTAGAGTTGTGTGGTATATGTTTATAACATTGGGTAGCCAAGGGCTGTTTACAGTTGTGTGGTATAATATGTTTATCACATTGTAGCAAGAGCTATCAAGTTGTGTGGTATATGTTTATAATATGGTGTAGACAAGGGCTGTCTACAGTTGTGTGGTATATGTTTATAATATGGTGTAGCCAAGAGCTGTTTACAGTTGTGTGGTATATGTTTATAACATGGGGTAGCAAAGGGCTGTTTACAGTTGTATGGTATAATATGTTTATAACATTGTAGCAAGAGTTGTTTACAGTTGTGTGGTAAAATATGTTTATAATATTGCATCATAATATATCCTGGATCGAAATTTCTTCTGCGTGCTTCACCCAACCCCTGCTGTGAAAGGGTAAGAGGTAGGAGTAGGCTTTGGGTAAGAATCACCGTAGTGAAGCACAGTCATCTCCGGATATAACAAAGTCGGATATACCGAACAGCTGGTTATAACGACCTCGATTTTACTCCCCTTGAAACTGCATCTGTCAAAAAGTTCGGATGTACCGAACTATAATGGAGGGTCTGTATGAGTTCGTTGTATCAGAAGTACCTGGAAAATAAGTTGATGCAATGCTTGATGGATGTTTGCGATTGGATGAGTGGTTTCAAAATAAGTTTTGTTTCTGCATCACTCTGGATATTGCTCAGACATATAATCTTCTACGGATATGACGAAGTCGTATATATCTGAAATGTAGACTGGAGCTGCTGGAATATCGCTCGACATAAAGGAATCATACAGTCTTGTTTTGTCCCTCTGAATTTTATACATTGATCTAAATATGAAACAGATGAGGCGGTCTTTATTTCTAGTTCAGGTGGGTAAATCAGTGGAAGGGAATTGGCTTTTTGATGGTTATTGAACGATGTCAGATCATTGATATACCTGAAGCTTAAGTAAACGTCTTGGCTAAATTGTCTTCTTTTCACTTCACATATTCGAGCAGAATTCCGATTCATTTTCATTAAAGAAACAGATTCGCAAGAAGGGGAGCACAGAGGATGCCCATGGGGATGCCTACTTCTTTCCAAATGTCTTACCCCCACATTTTACATATATTTTATCAACGAGGAAGTCCAGCATTTCACACATTGGTTACATGGTACACTTCAGATGGCATTTGCTTTCATTTGTGACAAATTGTCCCGAACATCTCCTTACTTCGGATATACCAAGCTGTCTTTGACGACCAGTGGTGTACGTTATAACCGTTGTGATCATGAAAAACTCGTGTTGTTCACATACGTGAATTGGCGTTCACCCCAAACAGTTACAGATAAAGATTGTGTTAGTTAAAACGCAGTAAGTTCACCCCAAACAGCTACAGATAAAGATTGTGTTAGTTAAAACGCAGTAAGCTGTCTTTTGACGTGTTTAAAATAAACTCGTTTGGAAAATATACGATATTTATGGTGGCAATAAAAGTTTGCGTGTTTCTGTCAATCAAATCAGTCATCTTGTGGATGCCTTTGACGACTCTCTCCACGCTGGGAATTCCGGAGCTTTCTACAGGAGCGTCGTTATCTTTCGCTGTGATCACTCGTGCGTATCTCTGTCCGTCAGACTGTTACGCAACCGTTCGTTGAGCAGGAAATGAGTAACGTCTTTGTTCAGGATATTTTATGAATGTCAACCCGCCAGTCACGCCGGTTGAATGCATAATGTTGTCTTGTAGCGGTTTCATATTTTTGAACACTTTAACACGTTATTAAGCTATATAACATATCTGTAAACCACGGACACATATAGCATTCGCCCCCACCCCCGACCCCCATTGATGATTTTATTGTTAGTAGTGGTAATAGCAGTGGTGGTGGTGGTAGTATTAGTAGTAGTAGTAGTAGTAGTGTAGTAGTAGTAGCAGTAGTAGAGGTAGTAGTAGTAGTAGTAGTAGTTGAAGTAGTAGTAGTCGTATCAGTGGTAGTAGTAGTCGTATCAGTGGTAGTAGTAGTAGTAGTAGTAGTAGTAGTAGTAGTAGAGGTAGAAGTAGTAGTAGTAGTAGTAGTAGTAGTAATAGTAGTAGTAGTGGTAGTAGTAGTAGTAGTAGTAGTAGTAGTAGAGGTAGTAGTAGTAGTAGTAGTAGAAGTAGTAGTAGTAGTAGTAGTAGAAGTAGTAGTAGTCGTATCAGTGGTAGTAGTAGTAGTAGTAGTAGAGGTAGAAGTAGTAGTAGTAGTAGAGGTAGAAGTAGTAGTAGTAGTAGTAGTAGTAGAAGTAGTAGTAGTCGTATCAGTGGTAGTAGTAGTAGTAGTAGTAGAGGTAGAAGTAGTAGTAGTAGTAGTAGTAGTGGTAGTAGTAGTAGTAGTAGTAGTAGTAGTGTAGTAGTAGTAGTAGTAGTAGTAGAGGTAGTAGTAGTAGTAGTTGAAGTAGTAGTAGTCGTATCAGTGGTAGTAGTAGTCGTATCAGTGGTAGTGGTAGTAGTAGTAGTAGAGGTAGAAGTAGTAGTAGTAGTAATAGTAGTAGTAGTGGTAGTAGTAGTAGTAGTAGAGGTAGTAGTAGTAGTAGTAGTAGAAGTAGTAGTAGTAGTAGTAGTAGTAGTAGAAGTAGTAGTAGTCGTATCAGTGGTAGTAGTAGTAGTAGAGGTAGAAGTAGTAGTAGTAGTAGTTGAAGTATCAGTGGTAGTAGTAGTAGAGGTAGAAGTAGTATTAGTAGTAGTAGTAGTAGTAGTAGTAGAAGTAGTAGTAGTCGTATCAGTGGTAGTAGTAGTAGTAGTAGAGGTAGAAGTAGTAGTAGTAGTAGTAGTAGTAGTGGTAGTAGTAGTAGTAGTAGTAGTAGTAGTAGTAGTAGTGGTAGTTATTCATTTTCATTGTTATGATTATTATTGTTTATGTTATTATAGCTTTTATAACCTATGAAATGACCATATAAGGACATGAAACTCACAACCTGGGAACGTAGATTCATGTTCTGTAATCTGCCACGCGAACTTCAGATACCCGAATAGTGTCACTGAGTTGTCGAGCTGATAACGAGCTCAATAGATTCAGTTCAATCAGAAATCTTGCAAACGGCACTCGAACCTTTTATGGTAACGATTATTTGTATCTCTCGATGTAACAGCATTCTCAATACGATCAGTTCAATAAGGATATTGTAAGGACGGCACAACGTCAGTGACACTGAAGAAACAGACTTGCACACTCAGACATCAAGGGCCACCATGCGTACAGTTGATTTATATTCAGGGGGACAGAGCGGCGCGTGAACTGACGAGCCACGCCTGCACTGGTATTATGCGTGCATGTTGTATATATACATTATTATCTGTCAGTAGTCATATATGTAATATGTATGAACACGTGTAAACCCTTAAACTACAATCTATGTCGGCCAATTGGTGTAAGAATCTATTTTTAGCTATTGAAAAGTAAGCCATAGAATTTACTCATCAACAGACAAAAACGTTTTTTTACAGTAATAATTAAACTTTATGAGACGATGTCGTACATAAGTGATTGATTGAAATCCGACTTGACAAAAACGATTAATATGATAACGAATAACATTTAAAGGGACATTACTATGTAACAAACCCCGTTAATCCAGAACTTCGTTTATCCGGACGATTACACCGGGAACGTTGGTGTCTGGGTAAACGGGGTTCCCCTGGATGTTCTCGGCCCCAGTAGGAAGACAACAGCACAGTACGGAGCAGCAAGCCTCTGTTACAGATGCGTACACCTTGAAATAAGCCCAGCACACCTTTCTTTGGTTTAATTCAAGTCTCTAACGTCCATGAATATTGTGAAAATATCTGCACCTGACATTGATCTCTTGTTGCTAAATGTCTGAGGTGACGCCGCTGAAAGGTTGGCACACGAACACGTCGTAAGGACAGAGTCATATCCTTTTTTAAAGCATGTGATTGATGAATGTTCTATGTATGGAACATATTATGTATACTTTATGCTATCAATCATGTTTAACTTTGTCTCATAACCAAATGGATGGCGTTTGTACATCATTTTTTTTGTTCTTGAGAACGTTTTATATAAGACTTTAATAAACAAATGTCGCCATCAAAATGTACCATCACACGACTGGTTTCGGTTTCCGCACTTCATTTGGAGAGCATGTCTGCTACTTCAAACAATTGTGTTTTGTCAGAAAAATATTACGAGATACGATATACACGAATGGTCGTGTCTTGGATATATAACGTAAGCAATGCTTATCTTTTTATAGGTGTAAACATTTAGATATTGGGGGTATTTGAGAGGGATATTTTACAATGTACATTGCATGAATAAGGTGATTATATAAAATATAACCAAGCATGTTGTTATGCTCGAAGTATTTGAGAATGTGTAATAGCCTATCCTTACATATTTACCGTATTCTTATCTTGACATATGTTAATTATTTATTGATGTTGTGGCCCCGTTGCTAGGTTACTAAACAGGGCTTCGTGTACACAGTGTAAAGTGAGAGTGAGACAGAGCCCAGTGTCAAGTGCTCTTGAACCTTAAGGACATTAGTGGACTACTTTCTTCACAGTAAACATGACAACATTACCTGTGTGAAACCCATTACATGTACCATGTACCATGTACCTTTACAAGAAGCACGGCAGTGCTAGATTCCTTGTCAGGAGGGGCACAGGACTGAATGTTAGTCTATGTACCGGTCGTATCTCCTACTCAGTGGTGTCTCCGCCCATGTCGCTGTAGTCGTAGCATGATAACATTTTATTGGACTTTATCTTAATGTATTTTATCCGATCTTAATGTCATTATCTTGTCGTAAGAGGCCACTATGCTTGTGGTAAGAGGCGACTATGCTTGTGGTAAGAGGCGACTATGCTTGTGGTAAGAGGCGACTATGCTTGTGGTAAGAGGCGACTATGCTTGTGGTAAGAGGCGACTATGCTTGTGGTAAGAGGCGACTATGCTTGTGGTAAGAGGCCACTATGCTTGTGGTAAGAGGCGACTATGCTTGTGGTAAGAGGCGACTATGCTTGTGGTAAGATGCCACTATGCTTGTGGTAAGAGGCGACTATGCTTGTGGTAAGAGGCGACTATGCTTGTGGTAAGAGGCGACTATGCTTGTGGTAAGAGGCCACTATTCTTGACGTAAGAGGCCACTATGCTTGTCGTAAGAGGCGACTATGCTTGTGGTAAAGGCGACTATGCTTGTGGTAAGAGGCGACTATTCTTGACGTAAGAGGCGACATTGCTTGTCGTAAGAGGCGACATTGCTTGTGGTAAGAGGCGACATTGCTTGTCGTAAGAGGCGACATTGCTTGTCGTAAGAGGCGACATTGCTTGTGGTAAGAGGCGACTATGCTTGTCGTAAGAGGCGACATTGCTTGTCGTAAGAGGCGACATTGCTTGTGGTAAGAGGCGACTATGCTTGTCGTAAGAGGCGACATTGCTTGTCGTAAGAGGCGACTATGCTTGTCGTAAGAGGCGACATTGCTTGTGGTAAGAGGCGACTATGCTTGTCGTAAGAGGCGACATTGCTTGTGGTAAGAGGCGACTATGCTTGTCGTAAGAGGCGACATTGCTTGTCGTAAGAGGCGACATTGCTTGTCGTAAGAGGCGACTATGCTTGTGGTAAGAGGCGACTATGCTTGTCGTAAGAGGCCACTATTCTTGTCGTAAGAGGCCACTATGTTTGTCGAAATATTTGTTTTTACCACCCAATCCCGTTAGTCGCCTCTTACGACAAGCATAGTCGCCTTTTACGGCATGTATGGGTTGCTGAAGACTTATTCACAGGTCGCTTGTCGTAAGACGCGGATGGGATCGGGTGGTCAGGCTCGCTGACGTGGTTGATGTATGTCATCGTATACCAATTTCGTAGGTCGATGCTCATGATATCAATCACTGGATTGTCTGTCCAGACTCAATTATTTACAGACCGCCGTCATATAGCTGGGATATTACCAAATATGGCGTCAAGTATGGTGCCAGACATGCCCACGATCTACTATGCTATACTGCGGACTAGTTGTGGACCCGTTAAGATAGATTAGGTCTACAGCAACCCATGCTTGCCGTAACAGGCGACTATGCTTGTAAGAGGCGAATAACGGCATCGGGTGGTCAGGCTCGCTGACTTGTTTGATGCATGTCATCATATCAAAATTGTGTAGATCGATGCTCATGATATCAATCACTGGACTGTCTTTCCAGACTTGATTATTTGCAGACCGCCGTCATATAGCTGGAATATTACCAAGTATGGCGTCAAGCAACAGGCAAACAAATCATGCATTAATGTAGAATCTCTGTTATTTCAGAGTGACAGAGGGACCGGCGGGTTATCTGGCTACCTGTATACTTCATCAACAATGGCCAACAACTTTGACCGACAGTTTTTCAGTAAGTTTTGGTGTGATTTTTCTGATAAACATTCAGACAACGTTCTCGCTGATAAATGTTATATAGTAAGTACCAATAATATAGCATGAAATAACATTGATATAATAATAAGTACAAATATGCATTTTTACCACCAAGTGGTTGCTCATAGCGCTACACGTTACAGGAGAGTCATCATCATCATCACCATCATCATCATCATCATCATCATCATCAGTATTATATCAATTGTGTTTCAGATTTGTGCATACCGATTGATTACCCTTGCACAGTTGGTGACAAATATATCATCATCATCATCAGTATTATATCAATTGTGTTTCAGATTCGTGCATACCGATTGATTACCCTTGCACAGTTGGTGACAAATATATCGACCCCTGCAACTGTGTGTTCTTTTTTTTGTGTGAGACAATCACCAAAATCATACCTCTAAGATGCAGTGCGGGGACCGCCTTCAACCACGAAAATGGCGCGTGTGAGCGGACAGAAGACGTGGTCGTTGTCGACAAACTGTGTGCTATTGATAAGCCATACAACAGGTGTTCAACAGGTAGGTTTGGTGCGTGCGTGCGTGCGTGCGTGCGTTATTGCACACGCGCTGATTTTAACCCCGCTTCATTCAACTTTCTGTTTTATCACGGAGAGTCAACATGATTTGGGAGTGAATTGGTCGTAGGTATCGGACAGTTACCAAATTAATTTAATCACATCATGGCGAAATCATTTATACAATATAATTATGAAGCTGAAATTCGGAAATATGTAGACAATGGACGAAGGTTAAAACGGTTATTGTTGATGTCATTCAATCCCAGTTTGTTACGTAGGTTACCCTGATCACATTCGTGATTCTGTCACGGGTGAGTGAGTGAGTGAGTGAGTGTGGTTTAACGCTGATTTGAACAGTATTTTAGTTCTAAATGGGTGTCAGCTTCTTGTGGGAGGGACGCCCGACGTGACTTATGTACAAGCGTGCGAGCGATGCCAGGGTCCTGCTAGAGTGAGTGAGTATTGTTTTACGCCGCTTTTAGAAATATTCCAACATCACGGCGGGAAACACCACAAATGGGCTTCACACATTGTACCCATGTGTGGAATCGTCCCCGGGGCCTCAGCGCGACGAGCGAACGCTTTAACCACTAGGCTACCCCACCGCCCCGGGCCCTGTTAGACCAAGCAACCAATTTAGGGCGAACATGGGATTCGAACCCACTACTAGTGTCTGCTGGCAGCTCTCGTAAGTAGCTCAGTACAGAGAATACCCTCACTGAGCCGGGGTTAAAAGTTTTGACCATTTATTGCATTACAAAATGTATGGAAGACAGCAACATGGTGAGGACACTTAGTCCAGTTTATGCGTGCTGTTTCAGTGTCTGGTGCCGATGTCGCGGACCTGCAGGAGCGATGCACAGGGACCACGCCAAGCCCCAGCCCCAGCCCCAGCCCAGGGGCTAACACAGGCAACCCAAGCGACAACACGGGGGCAATAGTGGGTGTTGTTGTAGCAATTTTAGTCGTCGCCGTCGTCGTCGTCATTCTGGTCCTTTACCTGAAGAAACGCGGGAAGCCGCTCAGGTAGGTGCAACTTCGTCGCATGTCTTCATTGTTAAACGGGGGCACGGGTGGCCCAGTCGTCTAAGGCGACGTAGTTTGCTATGCAGAGTTGCGTCCCTTGGGCACACATGAAACCTGATTGTGGGTCCGAATCCCGGTTCGCCCCGATTATGTCTCTAGGTTTGTCAGCACCATACCCGTGCTTGTAGATTTCACCGAAGTAGTAAACGTCTGAGACATGCATCACTTCGAGCTTTCCTCCCACATTAAGCTGACACGCTGTGATATAACTGGAATACTGTTAAAAGCGGCATTAAACCAAACTCACTCATTCACTCATTCTTGATAAAAGATGAAAAAAAGAAGCAATTTTTGTTTGCGACTTCATCTGGCAGACTAAATTCTGTATGGTTTAAATGGATTATGTTTTAATGAATTTGAAAATAGACATGTGAATATTTTATCAAAAACTCTTTGAGATAAAAGGCCAAGTTATACTACGTTCTGCAGAATGCCGTCAGTATATAGGGTGTAGCCGAGGGTTTAAAGTGTTAACGCCGGGTGGGATTCCCAACATGGGTGACACTGTGTGCAACCAGGTCTTGGTGTCCTCTGCCGGGACATTACTGAAACACTGACTTTAAAACGAGCTGCACCTTAAAAATTGTTTCCTAGAAGAAAAGGGGACAATTTCATGCAGAGTCCATCCGTATATTTCCACTCACTCTGGTATCAGTTAGACAGAGCCTAGTTTAATATTCTCTCACGCGCATTCGCCAGCACTCGTATCTTTCCGTAAACTTCCGGAATGGCAGGAGTCACAAATGACTCACCCAGCGAAAGAAGTAAAGGATTCAATGTCGGTAGGGTAGCCAAGTTTCAGTTCACAGTTGTAATGTGGCTGTGGCAGACATTGTGTTTTGTTCCTGTCATGCTTGAGTTTATTGATGAAGATGGGGATGAGCGTTTATGCAAGTGTTTGGTTTCAGTGACTACATGGGCGTCTTTAAACGCCGGCAGGGCAGGCAGGAGAAGCCTGAAGAGAACTACGCCGAGATTGGTGAAATGGTGAGAGATTACTGCATCATTACAGATTTTACTCGTACATTGAGTTGACCCGTGAGCATCCGGGCTAGAAAAGGTCTTTAGCAGCCCATGCTTGTCGTAAGAGGCGACTAACAGGATCGGATGGTCAGACTTGGTTGATGCATATCATCGTATCCCAATTGCATGGATCGATGCTCATGTAGTCATCACGGGATTGTCTGGTCCAGACTTGATTATATACGGACCGCCGCCATATAGCTGGAATATTGCTGAGTGCGGCGTTAAACAACAAAGAAAGAAAGAAACAAACATTAGGTAGAACTTTGCATTAGATATAAATGTGTTCAAATGATGATAAGCACAGATTGTTTTACTGTCCGTCGGTTGCAAAAACATACTAATATTCAAGATGGCCACCGTTGTGTCAAGGCCGCACAGCTGACCTTCACGATATAAAGATTCATACTCCAATGAACTCACACAAATTGAAAATTAACTTACAAATGACGATTAGGAGGAAAACAAGTGTAAACGCCGAATGCCCATAAACAATAAAAAACGATGAAATTGAAAATCTTCTGTTCCAGGGTGACCCGGTTTATAAGGAGAGAAACGGAACCAGCCCCCCTCTGCCCCCTAACCGCCCCGGTTTCACCCTCTCCCCTGCCCTCAAGGTCAGCCAGGCGAAACCCCCGGGGAGGGATCGGTCTCAGCGCGAGGATGTAGCATACGATAACCCGGGATACGATGATAATGACGTCATACAAGGAAGGGCGTCACAGATGACGTCAGTGACACTTACTGTGCCCGACAGCCCGGCTGATGCTACCGGAGCTTCAAACCAGGCAGAGTATTCTCCCTTGGATGAAAGCAAATTGGACTCCCCGACCCCTAAGTCCTATACGCCTCTGAGTATTTACACCCGAGGCACGAACCCGAACGCCCCCAGCGAAACAGGAGGTGTGTTGCAAGTGTCGGATAACGACTACCAGGTTCCGAGGTCGATTCCGGAATATTGCGAACTCCAACCAGGCTCCACAAGTGTGTCTTGAAGTATGACGTCATAATAACTTACGTTATACAGTGTTGTATTTGATAAAGTGCTCCAAAAATAAGCAGACAAGTTGATGAAAGAATTTTGAAGATGCTGGTATTTCCAGATCTCTGCAGATTATACTGCGGAGTGTGTACAAGGGGGCACGTGACTATTGATTATAAGGTACCACGTGATATTTGATCATATCGGTGCCATTGTACTGTATTAATGGATGTAACAAACGGATACCCTTCGAGGTACCTGTGACAAGGCCAGTGCGGATATAACGAGGTCGGCTATATCGAACTCGATTCTAATCAATGTAATAGACTTGTCACGTGGAGAAGTAACTTCGGATATGGCGACTTGATTTTATGAGTCACGGAGTTCGTAACAACCGGAGTTGTTATAGAAGGACTTTTGTTGTGATACGTGGTATTATTTCTCCTGAAGCCTGATGTTGTGAGGGTTATAACTGATGCACTGATGCACCAACCGTGGCTATGTGAGTGAGTGAGTGAGCATGAGTGAGTGAGTGAAATGAACTAGCATGAGTGAGTGCATGAGTATGTTGATGGGTGAGTGAGTGAGTGGGTGATTAAGTGGGTGAGTGAGTGATCGAGTGAGTGAGTGACTGAGTGAGTATTTTAGTAACATCACGTCGTGTCAGCTTGCTGTGACAGGAAACACCGAGCATTGGTGTGGTGCAGACAAACCATTAAACATAATAAAGGTTAATCTGGGATTCGAACCCTCGGATTCTGACACGAGGAAGGACCGCGTAGCGTCTTTGACGACAGGGCCACCAGAGTTTCTAAGTATTATCTGTACAGTAATATATTGAGGAATCCATACGAAATGGTGGTATACATTAAAATCTGTGTGACAGACAAAAATAAAATGTACCAACGACACATTTGTAGTGAACTCTATAATCAGTCAGGATAATGGCAATGTCTGTAGCACCTGTAGAGCACTGAGCTGATGGATGCTGGTGATTAAGAATGAGTGAGTGAGTGAGTGAGTTTGGTTTAACGCCGCTTTTAACAGTATTCCAGTTATATCACGGCGTGTCAGCTTAATGTGGGAGGAAAGCCCGAAGTGATGCAGGTGTCAGACGTTTACCACTTCGGTGAAACCCCCGAGCACAGGTATGGTGCTGAAAAAACCTAGAAACATAATTGGGGCAAACCGGGATTCGAACCCACAATCATAGGTTTCTGGCATGCCCAAGGGACGCAACTCTGCACAGCGAATCGCGGCGCCTTAGACGACATGGGCCACCCGTGCTCCCTGGTGATTAAGATGCCGGTTAGGTCCGGGCTTATGAGTCAAGACCTTCGCAATGCTGTACAGATAGTAACTAACACCTAACTTACAAGCAATAAACTGTTATTCGATGTATTTGATACGGGTATCATAGTTGTGTTTGGGCGACTGTTTCAGCCTATTAACGTTTTAATGACATTTGTAATTTTTTGGACAAATCCAATTTTCAAGTGTATTCTTTCTTTTGCCCTCAGTTTAAGTGGTATTTATTAATAACTGCCTGTTAACATAAAATTGAATGTCATATTCAATACCGTCTGAGCAGCGTCATTTGTGAAATTTGGATTGGAGCGTGATTCATTGTTCGGGCATGGCCAACTGTCTCCTCAGTTATCTCCCTTGTATCAGATCCGTCGAGAGAGAGTGCGACAGGTTGTGCTGTCGAAAATTGAGGGGTTTCATCACATCTTATACCAGGAGTTGTATAATAGAGTCACTGTGTAGACTGCGGTCGCTTCGCGTTAGTCACTTCCTCTGAAATCTCCCGTCACTAAAGAATGTTGCATTTTTTCAGGAGAGTTCTGGTATTAACAGAACAAGTATTTCTGTATAAATAATGTATATTTTTATCAAAACAAAGACAATAAAAGAATTATTAATAAACTTGATGTGAAGTTTTATTTAGTTCAACACAGAAAATAAGACGAAATATCAAAGTACAAACATAACAACAAGTAAAACACATACACGACGCCACCCTCTCCATCCCGAGCCTTCATCTACAACGACAACGTCGACGATCAAGCTCCGGCATAGAGTTCATCTGTCTGTACAAAAAAACTCAGTCTCTTTTTAAGAACAAATCGAATACACACCATGACCACAAGGAATGATAACAAAATTATGCATTTGAATACATATTTCGATGTCAACAAAATAATAATTTCATATAAAAAAACATCAATAAAACATCCAATGAATAATCAAGGCATTATTGACCCGGCGATATACATTACGTAAACCCATCATGGAGAAGATATATTGCTTTCTGCATTTCTGCGTTTTTTTTATTTCTGCATTTCTGCATTTTGATTTCTGCGTTTCTGCATTTTGATTTCTGGTTTCCATACACACTTGAATTTCTTGATTTTAATTATTGCGCAAAAAATGCAGAAATCACCACAAATCGTAATTACCAGTGCATAAAATATTTTGAAAATTGTATAGTCCCTCTTTAAGACCGAAATGATTGTGTTTTGCAATGAATCGATATAACATACACATTTCCATTGCAACAGTTGAACCACCCTGTTTGTGTAGTATATGCGGCATCTGCCCGGAGAGCGGAAGGCAAGGTGGTTCAAACCCCTTTCTGCGTTATTTAAAAAAAGATGGTACTTGTTGTTACCGAGCCTGGCGCTTGGCATTAAGGGACAAAACAAGGACTGGTCGGCTCGGAGTCAGTATACTGTGTCTGAGTGGGGTATTCATGCTAAACATTTCACTTCATGATACGCGAACCTGATTACACATAATAAGTATATGCATTACTCGTAGTAAGTATATGCACACAATCACATTCAATCAGATCTCTTACTCTGGCAAAACCTGACAAAACCACCATAGGTCATGTGAGGTGAACTTTCTTATCAACCAATCAGCCTGGAGGATTCATAATTCTCGACACAAGCACGAGCGTTAACGGGCACTTCCGAATGGAGAATAAAAGAATTATAACTGTCGTGTTTCAGAGCTCAATGACATCAGCATAGAAGCCGTACAAAGTAAATATACAATGAAATATCATAAAACGTAATATTTATATGAAAATATAATATAATATTTGAAAAATAAAACACCATTACTCCCATCCATTCAATGGCAGTGGTAATTAATGCCATAATTCATTTATATTTTCGACAAAAAGGACGAATTAAAAGTGATGTGGGATCCGTTGTATCTCGACAGAGCGGCCTATGTGCTACCACTCTGGGTATGGTCTGCACTGCATGTATAGTTCTTGTTTCACTGTATAAAATGCCTGGGACCGCCTCCGTGGTCTAGTGGTAGAGCGTCCGCCCGAAAAGCGGAAGGTCCAGGGTCCGATTCCCGGCCGCGTCATACCAAAAAACCGTTAAAACATAGTACTTGTTGTTACCCTGTCTGGCGCTCGGCTTTAGGGGGCTAAAACAAGGACTGGTCGGCTCGGAGTCAGTATACTGTGTCTGAGTGGGGTATTCATGTTAAACTGTACCCATTTACTGTAACATCATCGAAGGTATATATATATATATATATATATATATATATATATATATAGGTATATATCTTGAATGAGACGTCAGGAGACCATTTGTGACCAACTCGTGTCATCCCTGCAGGTGTCTGAAATATGTGAGTGAGTTGGGTTTAACACCGCTTCTAACAATATTCGAGTTATATCGCGGCGTGTCAGCTTAATGTGGGAGGAAAGCCCGAAGTGATGCATGTCTCAGACGTTAACCACTTCGGTAAAACCCACGAGCACGGGTATGGTGCTGACAAACCTAGAAACATAATCGGGGCGAACCGGGATCCGAACCCACAATCATAGGTTCCTGGCGTGCCCAAGGGACGCAACTCTGCACAGCGAATCGCGGCGCCTTAGACGACATGGCCACCCGTGCCCCCAACTGAAGGTGTGAGTGGTGGTGAATAGGAAAGATGTTGTGACGAGCTGGCCTTGCGAAGGGAATGAATCACCCGTAAAATATACTTTATATACGCGCATGACAACATGCGAGAATGCATGTGTTCAGAGTGAATGCATGTGTATAGCGTGAATGCACGTGTAAAATGTGAATGCCGTCAAAAAAGCATCGAGTGTTTATGGAGGCGTTCCGGATACAAGTCTGTATTTCTGGAATGTGTTGTGGCAGGATTAGCTCGTTATAGCCCTGATGTCACCTGTCCGGATATAACCATTCCAAGGACTTTCTCGAGGGTTTATTGTCCGAGGAGAAGGGTTTTCTATAACAATACATGGCATCAACAAATATAACTGTAAACATCAACAAATAGAATTGTAAACAAAAGCCCTATATAATTGAATTACATACTTGGACACAGGGAAGCAAAAGAACCAATACATCGCAGTTGATTTATCATGTATGTTAAGTTAGCGATATCTTGTCCAAACCTTATCTGTGCTGGCGCTTCGTCGGCGCTAAAAGCATACTTCCACATGGTTATATATTTTGAAAAATAATTTTATTTCAAATTTAAAAAAATTCAAAATAGCTTTTCCCATAATACACAACTGCTGATGGGTATCTTAGATAATTTATATTTGAAAATCAATAAATTTACTTTTTCGGCCCAAATTTCAAACAAATTTCATGTTATTGCAAATTCATTTCTTACCCCAGTCTTCATCGAATCAATATATTTTTCTGACAATTCCCCAGTCACAGATTACCTTTTACAAACTGTTGCAGGAATACGTCGTTATGGTTAAATAGAAACAACATAGTTTAACAACAGTCTTTCAATTTTCAGTTACATAAAAACAACTCGCTATGCTTCCTTTTGCTCCCAAGGTTGTGTAGACATACAATCAATATATGTACAGTACAGCGGTAAAACAGTATACTGGCAGTGATGGAGAAATATTCTCTGATGCAGTTGTCAAAAACTTTACCCGTTTTATGATGAAATATTTAAAAAAAGTTACATTTCTGTTAATGTTTCTTTCTCAGGTTAACGCTTTTCTAGTTTGTTTCATGTTGCTTAACGCCGCACTCAGCAATATTCTAGCTATATGACGGCGGTCTGTAAACCTATTCTACCCCGGAGCTCCACGGGTCTGACGCTGCTCTATGGAAATAGGGTTTGGATGAGAAAGGGGACGACACATGTTATTATGAATAAAAGTTTCTGACAATCAAACATCGTGCGACTTCCGGTTTGTGTTGCCCCGATGGCGGCGTCTGCCGTCATTGATGTCGAAACACCGACTTTTCCCTCAGCCGTGTGGTTCATTGATGCGTCATCTTGAGCTTCTGTTATTGTTGTTGTTGTCGCTGCTGTTGTTGTCGTTGCTGTTGTGGTTGTTGCGGTTCTTGATGTTGTTGAAGCTGAAGCACAACAACATACGTTTGAAACTAACTCTATTGTATAAAGAGGAATTGGGCCTCTGTTTACCCACTGGAAATGTCAAATATTACGGTTATGTGATGATGGTCAAGGGAGATAGTTCTATGGATATAAGTGAGTGAGTTTTACGCCGCTTTTAGCAATATTCCAGCAATATAACGGCGGGGGACACCAGAAATTGGCTTCACACATTGTACCCATGTCGGGAATCGAACCCGGGTCTTCGTCGTGACGAGCCAATGCTTTAACCACTAGGCTACCCGACCGCCCCTCTATGGATATATAACTTCTTTGTTACAAAGAATGTACATCCATCGAACTGTCTCCCTTGTTCGTCATATCAACTTCTAAATGCCACCTAAAGAAGGCTGAAACTTTTACAATAAATTGCATATTTACAAATACGTATCCTATCTCACACAGTACATTTTCCCTTCTTTCTCGATCCTTGTGTGGAAACGATCGCAAACCAAGTTTTCAGCTTTAAAAAACATCTCACCCAAACACCCCCAGTCGCCATGGCTTCCATCACTGACAATGGACTGTGCACTTCTTGTTTTCCGCGCAACTCGTGACATCCCACGCTTACTCATTCCAAAAGCGTACAGACTGGTGGAACTGTGATGCGGGGATTGATGGGTGGGAGGCTTTCGTGTGAGATAGGAAAAGTATTAATAAATACACAATTTATGGTAAAATTTGATTTGTGTAAAACTTGCCCTTTTTCACTGTGCGTATTTATCCCATGGTCGGTAGGGTGCAGATACCCAAACCTGTAACAGGGCCTGCACGGTGCCATGTACACGAGGAAGCCGGTCCTAAACTATGATCACATCCAACAATAAGGTTCACTGCTCGTGCATGGGTTGCTTCTTAACCCCCCCCCCCCCCTGTACTTTGCAGGCCCACTTATCACGAGGGCGGGTAACTTATGTGTGTCGTGTTTTCGCAAAGGACGCCCCCCCCCCCCCATGACGGTCTTCAAACCAACTCCTCCGGCCTAACGCTGGGGTTCGCGAGCAGAGGGTTGGGGACACGTGAAACCTCACCTTGTGGCGATTTCAGTTTGTTGAAGTCTCTACAGAAGAATCTAACCCTCCACTGGTATCCAAGCATGAAGTTTGGAATTTCAAATATTTCTTCTTGTATGTACACGAAGAAACATTGTATGCTGATGTCGATCCTACGAATGGCTGCTGTCAGTTGTTGAGCCAGAACTAGTTGTCCAAACTTGTGCGACCCTGTACCTCCGGGACAGAGACATCCCCCAGGTAGTGTAAGGCAAACACTGTGTCGGACTTCCAGAAACAACCTTCCCTTACCGCTGATAATGTACAGATGCTCATCTTCCCGAGGCAAGGGAGTCAATTGACTGTAAAAGTCCAGTTTCCTTCCTTGCCGAACTAGGCTAGAATTTCTGGCTCGACCATGTCATTTGAAACAGCCGTCTTCTCCTGGACATATTTGTTCTTATCTTCCCGAGGCAAGGGAGTTAACTGACTGTAAAAGTCCAGTTTCCACCCTTGCTGAACAAGGCTGGAAATTTTGGGCTAGCTCGGCTATTACGAGTTATGACCTTTCTATTGACCAATCAGATTCCACCTCTCATTTCACTTGCATTTCTTTCAAACAAATTGGCGGCGCCAAGTCAAGACAATCTGATCGATGATCAAGATATATATTGAAATAAAACGGATCTTACCTCGCGAAATGCATCAATTCATGTGAGCACATCATTTAAAATGTGAAAAGATTTGGAAAATATCTGTCGACGTCCAGTTGACGGAAGACATCTTTTTCAAATCCTGCAGTCGACCGAAATCTGCACGTTGAAATCCATGTTCATAACGAACCGGATGTCCATTTCGTTACGCGATTTTTATTGGATTATGCATAAACTCGTTAGTCCAGCCAAAATATAACTCCATAATTGCAGCCTAGTTCAGCAGGGGTGGAAACTGGACATTTATAGTCAGTCCACTCCCTTGCCTCGGGGGGATGACAGTTGCTATGTAGTGGTTGATCTATCTATCTATCTATCTCCATGGCACATGCTGGTTGGGGGCTGTTTGGGGGCGATATTCCTGCAAATGTGTAGGCTTGGAGGATGACTGATCGGAGCCAAACAGACACTGTTGTTTTGGATACTTCCGTCGTCGCAGCTGTTGACAAGGGGTAATGGCTCTCTCTCACTGGGCAGAGTGAGGAGTATTTGTAATTGTCTGGGCTTAAGATCGAGGGTGTCTAAGGCTCTCACTGGGCAGAGTGAGGGGTCTTTTTGATTGCCTGGGCTTAAGATCGAGGATGTTAAAGGCTCTCACTGGGCAGTAAGGGGTCTTTGTGATTGTCTGGGCTTAAGATCGAGGATGTTAAAGGCTCTCACTGGACAGTAAGGGGTCTTTGTGATTTTTTTTGTCTGGGCTTAAGATCGAGGATGTTAAAGGCTCTCACTGGGCAGAATGAGGGGTCTTTGTGATTGTCTGGGCTTAAGATCGAGGATGTTGAAGGCTCTAACTGAGCACAGTGAGTTTTTTTTATGATTGTCTGGGCTTAAGATCGAGGATATTTAAGGCTCTCACTGGGCAGAGTGAGGGGTCTTTGTGATTGTCTGGGCTTAAGATCGAGGATATTTAAGGCTCTCACTGGGCAGATTGAGGGGTCTTTGTGATTGCCCGGGCTTAAGATCGAGGGTGTTTAAGGCTCTCACTGGGCGGTAAGGGGTCTTTGTGATTGTCTGGGCTTAAGATCGAGGGTGTTTAAGGCTCTCACTGGGCAGTAAGGGGTCTTTGTGATTGTCTGGGTTTAAGATCGAGGATGTTTAAGGCACTCACTGGGCAGTTAGGGGTCTTTGTGATTGTCTTGGCTTAAGATCGAGGGTGTCTTAGGCTCTCACTGGGCAGAGTGAGGAGTCTTTGTGATTGTCTGGGCTTAAGATCGAGGATGTTTAAGGCACTCACTGGGCAGGGTGAGGGGTCTTTGTGATTGTCTGGGCTTAAGATCGAGGATGTTTAAGGCACTCACTGGGCAGAGTGAGGGGTCTTTGTGATTGCCTGGGCTTAAGATCGAGGGTGTCTAAGGCTCTCACTGGGTAGTAAGGGGTCTTTGTGATTGTCTGGGCTTAAGATCGAGGGTTTCTAAGGCTCTCACTGGGCAGAGTGAGGAGTCTTTGTGATTGTCTGGGCTTAAGATCGAGGGTTTCTAAGGCACTCACTGGGCAGAGTGAGGGGTCTTTGTGATTGTCTGGGCTTAAGATCGAGGGTGTCTAAGGCTCTCACTGGGCAGTAAGGGGTCTTTGTGATTGTCTTGGCTTAAGATCGGGGATGTCTAAGGCTCTCACTGGGCGGTAAGGGGTCTTTGTGATTGTCTGGGCTTAAGATCGAGGGTGTCCAAGGCTCTCACTGGGCAGAGTGAGGAGTCTTTGTGATTGTCTGGGCTTAAGATCGAGGATGTTTAAGGCTCTGACTGGGCAGAGTGAGGGGTCTTTGTGATTGTCCGGGCTTAAGATCGAGGATGTTTAAGGCTCTCACTGGGCAGAGTGAGGGGTCTTTGTGATTGCCCGGGCTTAAGATCGAGGAAGTTAAAGGCACTCACCGGGCAGAGTGAGGGGTCTTTGTGATTGCCCGGGGTTAAGATCGAGGATGTTAAAGGCTCTCACTGGGCAGAGTGAGGGGTCTTTGTAATTGCCTGGGCTTAAGATCGAGGATGTTAAAGGCTCTCACCGGGCAGAGTGAGGGGTCTTTGTGATTGCCCGGGCTTAAGATCGAGGATGTTAAAGGCTCTCATCGGGCAGAGTGAGGGGTCTTTGTGATTGTCTGGGCTTAAGATCGAGGATGTTAAAGGCTCTCATCGGGCAGAGTGAGGGGTCTTTGTGATTGCCCGGGGTTAAGATCGAGGATGTTAAAGGCTCTCATCGGGCAGAGTGAGGGGTCTTTGTGATTGCCCGGGGTTAAGATCGAGGATGTTAAAGGCTCTCACTGGGCAGAGTGAGAGGTCTTTGTGATTGCCTGGGCTTAAGATCGAGGATGTTAAAGGCTCTCACCGGGCAGAGTGAGGGGTCTTTGTGATTGCCCGGGCTTAAGATCGAGGATGTTAAAGGCTCTCATCGGGCAGAGTGAGGGGTCTTTGTGATTGTCTGGGCTTAAGATCGAGGATGTTAAAGGCTCTCATCGGGCAGAGTGAGGGGTCTTTGTGATTGCCCGGGGTTAAGATCGAGGATGTTAAAGGCTCTCACTTGGCAGAGTGAGGGGTCTTTGTGATTGCCTGGGCTTAAGATCGAGGATGTTAAAGGCTCTCATCGGGCAGAGTGAGGGGTCTTTGTGATTGCCCGGGCTTAAGATCGAGGATGTTAAAGGCTCTCACTGGGCAGACAGAGGGGTCTTGGTGATTGTCTGGGCTTAAGATCGAGGATGTTAAAGGCTCTCACTGGGCAGAGTGTGGGGTCTTTGTGATTGCCCGGGCTTAAGATCGAGGATGTTAAAGGCTCTCACCGGGCAGAGTTAGGGGTCTTTGTGATTGTCTGGGCTTAAGATCGAGGATGTTTAAGGCTCTCACTGGGCAGAGTGAGGGGTCTTTGTGATTGCCCGGGCTTAAGATCGAGGATGTTAAAGGCACTCACTGGGCAGGGTGAGGAGTCTTTGTGATTGTCTGGGCTTAAGATCGAGGATGTTAAAGGCTCTCACTGGGCAGAGTGAGGGGTCTTTGTGATTGCCTGGGCTTAAGATCGAGGATGTTTAAGGCACTCACCGGGCAGGGTGAGGAGTCTTTGTGATTGTCTGGGCTTAAGATCGAGGGTGTCTAAGGCTCTCACTGGGCAGAGTGAGGAGTCTTTGTGATTGTCTGGGCTTAAGATCGAGGATGTTTCAGGAACTCACTGGGCAGAGTGAGGAGTCTTTGTAATTGTCTTGGCTTAAGATCGAGGGTGTCTAAGGCTCTCACTGGGCAGAGTGAGGAGTCTTTGTGATTGTCTGGGCTTAAGATCGAGGATGTTTAAGGCACTCACTGGGCAGAGTGAGGGGTCTTTGTGATTGTCTGGGCTTAAGATCGAGGATGTTAAAGGCTCTCACTGGGCAGTAAGGGGTCTTTGTGATTGTCTGGGCTTAAGATCGAGGATGTCTAAGGCTCTCACTGGGCAGAGTGAGGAGTCTTTGTGATTGTCTGGGCTTAAGATCGAGGGTGTTGAAGGCTCTCACTGGGCAGAGTAAGGGGTCTTTGTGATTGTCTGGGCTTAAGATCGAGGGTGTTTAAGGCTCTCACTGGGCAGAGTGAGGGGTCTTTGTGATTGTCTGGGCTTAAGATCGAGGGTGTCTAAGGCTCTCACTGGGCAGAGTGAGGAGTCTTTGTGATTGTCTGGGCTTAAGATCGCGGATGTTTAAGGCTCTCACTGGGCAGTAAGGGGTCTTTGTGATTGTCTGGGCTTAAGATCGAGGATGTCTAAGGCTCTCACTGGGCAGAGTGAGGAGTCTTTGTGATTGTCTGGGCTTAAGATCGAGGATGTCTAAGGCTCTCACTGGGCAGTAAGGGGTCTTTGTGATTGTCTGGGCTTAAGATCGCGGATGTCTAAAGCTCTCACTGGGCAGAGTGAGGAGTCTTTGTGATTGTCTGGGCTTAAGATCGAGGGTGTTGAAGGCTCTCACTGGGCAGAGTAAGGGGTCTTTGTGATTGTCTGGGCTTAAGATCGAGGGTGTCTAAGGCTCTCACTGGGCAGAGTGAGGGGTCTTTGTGATTGTCTGGGCTTAAGATCGAGGATGTCTAAGGCTCTCACTGGGCAGATTGAGGGGTCTTTGTGATTGTCTGGGCTTAAGATCGAGGATGTCTAAGGCTCTCACTGGGCAGAGTGAGGAGTCTTTGTGATTGTCTGGGCTTAAGATCGAGGATGTTTCAGGAACTCACTGGGCAGAGTGAGGAGTCTTTGTAATTGTCTTGGCTTAAGATCGAGGGTGTCTAAGGCTCTCACTGGGCAGAGTGAGGAGTCTTTGTGATTGTCTGGGCTTAAGATCGAGGATGTTGAAGGCACTCACTGGGCAGAGTGAGGGGTCTTTGTGATTGTCTGGGCTTAAGATCGAGGATGTTAAAGGCTCTCACTGGGCAGTAAGGGGTCTTTGTGATTGTCTGGGCTTAAGATCGAGGGTGTCTAAGGCTCTCACTGGGCAGAGTGAGGAGTCTTTGTGATTGTCTGGGCTTAAGATCGAGGGTGTCTAAGGCTCTCACTGGGCAGAGTGAGGAGTCTTTGTGATTGTCTGGGCTTAAGATCGAGGGTGTCTAAGGCTCTCACTGGGCAGAGTGAGGAGTCTTTGTGATTGTCTGGGCTTAAGATCGAGGGTGTCTAAGGCTCTCACTGGGCAGTAAGGGGTCTTTGTGATTGTCTGGGCTTAAGATCGAGGGTTTCTAAGGCTCTCACTGGGCAGAGTGAGGAGTCTTTGTGATTGTCTGGGCTTAAGATCGAGGGTGTCTAAGGCTCTCACTGGGCAGAGTGAGGAGTCTTTGTGATTGTCTGGGCTTAAGATCGAGGATAGTGGAGAGACAGTGAGTAACTTTTCTGGCCTCCTGGCATTTGAGGCCTTAAAGACTTTACCATAGCGTTGTCGTAAGAGTCTTATTGACCTCAAAAGCATGAATCTCGCTGACACGAGCAACCATTGCAACATGTGATCTACTCGTCTGAACCACCTAATCAAGGCCTGAGGTTCAGCAATAGTGAGCGTGTTGTAATCACTGAGTTGAAAGATGCGAAATACGTAGCAAGTGTAGAACCTTTCAACCTTCGGGATGATCTCAAGTATTGAAGGTATTCTGCTATTCTGAGGTGGTGCTGTAGTCGGGGAATGAGGGTCAGGAGACTGTAGCCTCCATTAGACTTCCATTTCTAATGATATTGCTTAGTGGAAGTACGATGTGCATCAGTGATTGTTTGAACCACTTCTAGAATATCCCTTTGCAATTCAAATTCAAGTAAAATATGTCAACAGACCTTGCTACATACACAGTGTGTCCTTGTATCTCAAGTGGTTTGTGAAAATAAGCTGGGTCTGTCGGGAGAATATTATCCGTCTAAGAGTACAGTTGCAAGGAGCTACCGGCACCACCGTCCAAATGACTGCTGATGCCAGAAATAGTCCCGACCGCCAGTGATGCTATCAAACACTGCTCGATACAGGTTGATCTCTTCATGGGTGACTAATAAATGCAATTTTGTATTTGTAGATGCACTCGTGCACACGATGCACAATGCATTAAGACATAACTAAACGACCATATCTCGCGGGATTGTTCGGGAACTCACGTGATTGTGTTGTTGTGCATACGGCCCCCCTGCTCAAGGAAACGTAGGTTGTGGCCAAGTTGTGCATCACCTTTTTCGCCTCTGCTCCACACAGCGTTTCCGCAGCTCTCCCACAACAATCGACGAACATGTCGAGAGCTCTGCAACAGAGTGAGTGAGTGAGTGGGTTTGGTTTTACGAACACTATGTCAGATATATCACAGCGTGTCAGCCTAATGGCGGAGAAAACACTGAGGTGATGAAGGTCGTGGACTTTTATTACTGAGGCGAAACCCTCCAGCTGGCCATTGATATGGCAAAGGGAGAATTACAATTAAGTGAATCTGGGATTTGAACGCTCTGTCATGGGATCCTGGCACGCTAAGGGACGCAACTGTGCACAATGGAACCGGCGCCTCAGCCGGTTCCAGGACCACCTATGCCCCTGTTGATTTAGGCTTAAAGGGAGTCATGGCATGAGTTGACGTGTTTAATATAAATGGAGAAAGCAAATAATTTGTTTAAGTTTGATTTTTATATTTGAATTTATGTAGAGGGGAATATCCGAGTAACTCTCCATTCCTTAAAAATAATGGAGCCGAGGCCGAGCAGGAATGGGGAGTTACGAGGACATTCCCCGACTTAAAACAGTCCCTACTTTTACATTTTGACAAAATATTCATACCCAAGAATACATGGGACCTAACTCTTCCACAACGATATAAACCCAATAAAGCGTTGTAAAATAGTATCTTGATGTCATCAGCGATAACTCCTGCAGTACTAATTGAGGTTAATTAGCAAGGGTTAATTAGTGTTTATTTATAGCACGACTCTCGTGCTGTACGTTCTACGTTCGAACCCACGTGTAGATACATTTCGTGTAAATATTTTACATTTCTGTTTGTTTTAAAAACTAAAAGAACATTGTTTTGGATTAAGTTCATGAATGTATAATTTGGTATGTCATACTTTATTATCCCCGTTTTATATTGATGTAATCGGAATGTAATCATTTGAAGTGTATTTTGCGCTATTACCTGTTGTTAAAAAGTGCCACAAGAGGCGATATAGTTATGCATGAAATAATTATACAAGCACCGAGTCGAAACATCAGCTAACAAACTAAATAAACAAAGTTTTGAATTGAGGAAAACTATTTATTAACGTGAAGACATGAATAATATAATGCATTATGCTAATCTTTAACAAAAGGATGTCACATGTCCTAAACACAAAAACAGGTCTGCAAACATCAGTTCAGTTTGCTGGCCATCTCCATAAGTTTTGCCCTTGAAGTGGACTTCGTTGACACATCATGAGTTTGCAAAAAGTCACGGCCCCGAAACTGAAAGTTCACTCAAATTGACATCTTGAGTTGGTTGAGATGTAATTTCTTTAGTGATGTTTGACCTTTTACCCTGTCTCACTTCATTTATCGTATCTTCCCAATACACAAGCTTCCTTTTGGTGTATTGGCGCTTGACTCGATTTAGATCACTATGGTTCTCCATTCGTTTCCTGACTTTCAGTGCCTCAACGGTTGCATCCCATTTATTTGATTTTTGCTGATGTATTTTTTTAATTTCATCATTAGTTTTTTCAAGGGCCTGACAACTGAAGTCACGAATTGAGCCATAGCGGTGAACAAAACCAGGGACATGGTAAACCAAACAGTGAATATATGGCGTTATTCGCATCTTTTGGTACAAATTCATTTTACACCCAATTGAAACGAATAACTGAACCCAGCTTTTCGACAGTTCAAAAACCTCAATTGCTGGGGTACCTGGAGTACAAATTTTGGAATAGATTTCTGAAAAGTTTTGCCAAAGGTTGATGATGATGCTCTCGGTGTCAGGATTTAATTTGCCTCTAAGCTTTGCAGGTAGATAATTCAAAAGCTTTTTCTTTTCCTGACCCGAGAGACTTGTCCAATTGAGTTTTTTGCTCTCTCTCTCTTCCCAAACAGAAAATGAAACACCACAGGACCTGATACACTGTACTATCTCGTCAACATGTCTTGCCTTCTCTTTCTTTTCAACTAGACACTTATCCATGTCGCATGCCTCCACTATCAAATTCCTTTCTAGCACATCTGTTATCCTAAGTAGCAGATGCAACTCATCTCCAATGTAGTTCTGAACCTCAAGTTTTATGAGTAGGGCATGGAGAGCACCGTGGGAACATTTGTCTGCACATTGTGTAATGTCCTCTACTGTACGCCTGAGTTCCCCTGTGTCATAGTAGTCCCAGGCCTTAGTCACGTCGTGTCTATCATTCTTATGCACTTTGCACCAGGGACAAGCATAATTGCCAGTAGCGCCACCTAGGCCTAACATTGTTGAAATCATTTTCATGTCTGACGAGAAAAGAATGTCAATGCCTATCTCTCTGCAACCCACTTGGATATGACCCACAGTTACAATATCATTGATGTCATTAAACATTGGATAAAGACAGGATTTTAAACTATGGTAATCTTCTTTACATTGTACAATGGCAAGGGTATTTAAATTTAAAGATGATAGTGTCTTGCCAGGCTCGACAATGTGGAATGTAAAGATGACAAAATTAGAAATCCTACTAACTTTGGTGCCATCCCCGCCAATATTAACACACACCTTATCTACGTTAGGATTATCTTTGATATGCTGCGCTACCTTCTTCCTGAGCTCATCCTTAAAGCTAAGCATTGCTCCCGGCACATTACCTGGCACACGTTGAATGACTACAGAAGACGACATCTCATTACGTGCCCCTACCACTGTGTGAGTTCTTGGTAATTCTCTGTGAATTTGGGAAATTTCGTGATATGCTGAGTCGCTTACGCCAAAACGATCCAAAACATTGACAAGGGAGCGCAGCTTTAGCTTTTCAGATTCTGACAAGTTGGAATAATGTTTTGGAGTTGACATCGGTAAACTGACTAAACTGTTTTTTGAACCGCTGGCTGTTGTTGTAGGCATTAAACCGAATTCCTGAAGAAACGACAGAGTCCTATCAGATTTAGCTTGGTGTAGAGGTGTAGGACCTTGACCAGAGAGCGTGTGCCAAACTTCTTGGCAGTGTGATTCCTGCTCTACTCTATCGCCTAAAAACTCAGTAACTGTAGCATTACCATCCCCTTGAACACACAGTAGCTCACTTGAAAATACAGAAAAACAGTGTTTTTCACCCATAAAAAGTTCCCTTTTTCTGCCAGATTTATATTTAGTTTTCAATTTGGAGGACACTGAGCCACAAACACGTCCAATGTGTGTTTCCGTCCTGTCTGTCTGACATAACTGCATGTGCTTTAGTTGAGTATTTACAATGGCTATGTATGATAGATTACCATAGCGACATTTTGCAGTATGGAGCTGTTTCAGAAATTTATGAGTAACAAACAAAGATATAGCAATTTTGTCAGCCCGTTCTAAATGTTTCTTATTCAGAAACGGACTGACCTCAGTGGAAAATGATAAAGAGTCCTTGAATTTCAAATTCTGTGCATACGTTATGTTGTCAGACATTTTGAACAAACAATTTAAGGTTATATACACTGTGGAAAAACTATATACACTATATACAAAAAGCCATAAGTTGGTTTGAGTTCATTTTCCCTTTGAAATGAAGGCTGCATCACAAGCTCTAGTGAGCACAGCAAACTGTACTGTCTCGACGGGGGTCTTCACGAGCAGCACACGACCATCACGGACCACCCAGGTGGAAGTCATCCTCACACGTGGCCAGGCCCTCACAGGAAAGTCCACACACGTTCCCTCTCCGTGGACGTTGACATGATACCACCAGTGGTCAGATAGAAAATGTTTGGTAAAATCAGCTTGCTGGAGATGCACCTTGCCATCAGAATGGTACACAGACCTAAACACGTCCAAAGGACACGGTACAGAAAACCTGACTTCACGGGTTTTCAGACGTGCCTTGAATCCTCTCTCTACATCTCGAAAAAATGCAGATATCAGCTGTGGACAGGCATCTGGTTGGTGGAAAGACTGAATCAAATGACCTGGCAGATGATGTTCAGGCTCCCAGGTGCAGTCCTCTATTGAGTAACCCTGCCACTGCACAAGATAGAGTACACCCTGAAAACAAAATAAAGAATATTGAACATGTCAATGACTTACATTGATCTTAGCCAATACCATTTCATTTGCAAATACATTTCAATAATCAATTCATACACGATATGTCACGATAAAATGGTACGTAATGTGCACAGATTATATAATCATATTATGATAATAGATGTAATCAAATTACCCATCGTTAACTAAGTCTGGTCTGTAGCGATTGAACTGCACAGACGTTTAAGATATTCCTGGTGTTCCTCCACCAGCAGTTGCGGTCGGTCACACAAAGACCGCCTTCATTACTTATTTCCTTTTTGTATACATTATCGTTATACTAGATCTATGTAAAGGGTTTTGATAAAAATACAGTGTTGATTGGTAATTTTAATCTACCAGAGGATAGTAATCTTAATATCAATGAATCTTTACATGACCTTTTTTTGCCAGACAATGCTTTAATTATATAATGCAAATATTACGAGATATCTGTTACAACTTTACTTACAAGTAAATGTAACTTTTAACCATATTCAGGATTGTGACACAATAAACTATTCTATTCTATTCTTAAGTTCTATTAAAAGCACTACTACTAATATTACTGTATTTCACCAAGGGCGTAAAGAGAAGTCCTTGATTTCACACAAGCCCAAGACTGAACGTGTGGTGTTTTAAATCCGTATTATCAAGTTTCAATGCCCCTATCAAACAGTATACATTACGTAAACGCGACCCCATCTGGTGATATCGCCAAGGCGTGATATAAATGTATACAGTCCACTCGTAATACATCATCTGTTCGGTATTATGGGTTTGTTTTTATTTATTTCTTCTTGATAAGGTTGGGGATGGTCTTACTTGTATTACATTTACATATTGCTTAAATAACAAACACTTCATGAACCATCTTGGCTCTACCAAAATGTAACGAGAATGGAACTATTGACAAAACTGTTTCAGGAAATAATTAATCAAAGTATTGTTATATAATGAATTCCCATTCAATGAAAACAATGTTTTTGAATGTTTTGATATAATAACACTATTTCATGTCAATTTATATGAAATTAATAGAATACCCATGTCTGAAAACCTCAACTAAAATCTGTAAGTATGGCGCTGCTTCAAATGTGCTGAACCATAAATCAAAACCTACATTTACGTTTTTTTTGTTAAATGTGATGTTTTAAGAATTACACTATATCCTATTTATTTCACGTCATACGCTGTTGTTGTTTTATATAGTTAATATCTTAATTATATATTATCTGTTAGTCTGTGAATGCTCTGACGTATCTAGCCCAACACATTATGGTACCTTTTACTACTTACTAATAACTTGAGAGCTGTACACATTAAAGCAAAAGCACAAATTAACTTTAAGTTGACCTACCTTTTGAGTTTTCTTCCTTTGTATCAACCGCTCCACACAGTACACTCCTGGAAGGGTTGCGGTGTTGGTAAATCTGGAAGATCGGTCGCAGCTAAGTGGTTCTCCTTCATGTAGTTTCTTCCAGTCCGTGTGATTGCGTGCCCTCAAATCCATTCTCACTTATATATCGTATCGGCAGTAATTGCTAAGATAACAAGACGATTACCAAAATGACCGATAGCGTACGCAACAGGCACATGCATGATTTTTTATTCATCGCGCTTGCTTTTATACATACCTTTGACACACTGAGATGAAGTGTCATATTGACAGCAATCTCTCAAATACGTACAACAAACCATGCCTTGAAATTTAAATCTTAACGTCATGTGACGAATGTAGCATTCTTTATTTTCTGTTTAAATGTTAGTCAACTGAAAACATGTTATTTTTAGTACAGACTTATATTGGAAAATGTGTCCATTATTTTAATACGTGAAAGGATAAAACTACTTAAAACTTTTTTCAGTGATTTTAGTTTACGATACTTATTTTACTGAACTATTATTTTTGGGTATGAACAGGTATAAAGTATTAGATCTTGACATATGGCTAGATATCAACTCGAATCCTAATATTCATACCGTGTTCCTTTCTATGTATTATACACGAGAGACAGGACGACGCCTCCCCCCAAATATAGGAAATGTTGTTAACAATAAGAAAATGTTAAGAAAGGCAATTTTTTTTTACAAATTTTGCCAGTTAAATAACAAAGATTGACTTAAATTCCAATGCAGCTACGGATACTTTCGATATTTCCTCATCCCGATTTAATGTTATCTAACACAAATCCCTTCATTAATGTCCGGTCTTTGACAATGAGCTTAACGGTTTAACACCTGTTACATTGGGGAAACAAAAGATAAGTCAAGTAAAGGAAAGAGTCACACTACACGTGTGATTACAGGACGTTTCTCCCTCTCTTATCTGCTCAAATGGCTTAATTAAATTGCATTAGTTTATCAAAACAATGTAATTAAAGGATATCCGATAGTTTTTATAGGCAAAATATAATTTGTTCCGTAATAGAAACTAATTCGGATGGAGGTTTCTTACAGTTTAAGAATTGTATATAACCAAAAAATTACTTTGAAATACAAACCAAAACAATTGCTCCTTCTTTGTCAATACATTCAATTCTTGATAAAGCCAATGTAACATAGTATATTGATAATATCATTACAACATATTGTTATTCCATGACGGTGATGTTATCATTTGATAGAAATCCGTATCTAAACAAACAACAACAGTTTAACAAGTATTTGCGTCATACAACACGATATCTGTTAAACATATCGGATCATTACGGTTACATTTATAAATCATTAACATGTTTATAACCTTACAATTCGTAAAATAATATACCACTGAGTCAAGAATTGTTTATATAATTTTCAATAAGTAAAGTAGGGAATTTTGAATAGAATTGCGCCATGACGACAAATAATTAAACACAGAGAGTACACTCATGATACGAAGCACCTGAAGACAGACATATAGATATATATGACCCCTATTGACCGCTTGTGCCCAGGTCCAAGGGAGCTAACCAGCCGGTGCCATAACTGACTGGAAAATATAGCAATCTCGAAAAATGTGTGTCATCTTTAAGCTTTTGTGGAAGAAACTTAGCATCCATATTTTTTGCTAAGTTTTGGAATAGTATCTGAGAAAGGTTTGATGAATAAGTAGATATGCGCGGAGTATATCTATGTATTATACTTAACAAGTTATACAGTGTCAAACTTTGTGATAAATCTGACAATTCTTCTTTCATTATGGTAACAGCAAAGCATAACAACCCTCTACATTCGTTTCAAGATGGAAGCCATTTACGTCCAAGTTAAAAATATATAGAAAAATTCTTTAGAAAGCTTACGGTAAGTAGAATACATACATAGGCGGGGAGATACTGTAACTTCTGTCTATTCTATTTTAAAAATTAAAAAAGAACCTAGTCCTTCTTTGCTATCATATATTGCACGCTCCGTTGAACAGAAGGCACAGCAGGCGACAGGCGTCCAATTCTTGCACATGATCTTGTGAAATATATTTGAAAAATAAACCAAAACTCTCTACAGACTGTATTTATTCTGTTTGAGTCGCCGTTGCGTAAATCACGAGGAATGCGCTCTTTGCGCTTTTGCACGTGCACCAAGCTCCGTCGCGAGCTGATATTCACAATACGGGACAAACTTGTGTAGGGTCCTTGTGTAGTATGTCATCAATCGCTTGTACATTGTAAATGTACATGCTGAGGGGAATACTCGGAAGTATAGAGCCCCGAACAAGGATGAAGGTTGATCTAATTGCTATAAATATGAACATTGCCATAGGTAACGTTCTCTAACACAACATCATATACATATGCATAGTATTTTTGAGGTCGACAATTACACATCCTCGGATCACACGACGCGGGTTCGAACCCCGCTGGCGACACATGTTTTCCGATAAAATTAGAAATTATTCATTCAAAATATTTAAAAAATAGTTTCGTCAATTCCAAGTGCAAATTCATTGAAATGTCGGTTCAGGATAATGTTTAAATGACAAACAACGTCTCCATTCCTGAGAAATTATTGAGCGTTTAAACAATAGAAAGACGTCACAGATGTGTTCTAATTTCCCCGAGAGCGGAGAAGCGCAAGCGAATGGTTGTCCGCATCCTTACCCGCACATCTCTTTGGAGTCACGTACATTCTTGACGTCGTCATTGCACAGGTCGACCTCCATGTCCATTTCTCCTTCTCGCCAACAGCTGCCGGTCTTCACGTAGTCTACAACGAACAACTACACATGTAGATGACGTTCATGACGTCCATGATGCGTACGTCTTCAGATTACAGACTTAAAGTAAAAATAAGCCACAAAACGCTTTCCATATTCAAAAGAAAGCAGTGCTAAAAGCAGAGTCTATTGTACGAGTCTTACTATATCATAGCATCCCAGATGGTAGTCAGACGTTGGGCCAACGTTGAGTCAAGGTTATCACTTACGTTGGGCCAACGTTGGCTATCAACCTTGAGCCAGCTTTGTTTTGACCGACGGCCAAGCGTTGGTCTAACAATGATGAATATGTGTTCATGGACATCTATCACATAGTGATGATGCCGTGTTTTCGAAAGGGTGAGCGTTTCATGCCCCACCGGTAATACCCGTCACAAACACATGCAAAGGCAAGTCAACTGTGAAAGCATTATGACACAATATAAAAATTATTTCATAAAAAGGTGAAGAATTTTTCGAGGGTTTAACATAAACAGCCACACACTTAATTATCTGACTCGTCTGTCTCCACAATGAAGACCTGTGGTTCAAATGTCCACAGTGTGTGAGTGGGGGAGACGGGACGCCACATTATTCGCACCAGATAATGGCGGAGGGAGGTCTGATGCTTCACACCATTGTACACGCGCTTAAAAGACGAGGCTACACGACACCCCGAGACACGGCCACCTGAAGCCTGTACCAACCTCTGAAGCCTCCAAATGTATATTGGAATATGCGAAAATGGCAATCTCATTAAAATCAGATCTTAGTTCTCGCTACCGCTAATCAAAGATTTGAGGACATCCCATTACGGGTCACGTCAGACCGACCTTGCACGAACTTTGACCGACCAATGGAATGACCGACAAGAAGCCGACATTAGCCAATCAGAAGACAGCTTTTTCATGCTTTACGGCACTAATTTCAAATTGTCGACTACGCTTCGAAACATACCGATAGAAGGACTGACAAGAAGTCGACATTAGCCAATCAGAAAGCTGCTTTCTCGTGCTTTACGGCACTAATTTCAAATTGGCCTCTACGCTTCGAAACATACTTTTACAAGTTCTCGATTAAAAATTTGAAACCTGAACAAAAGACCATTCTGGAATGGCTAATAGATGGCCTAGACTGTATGGATTCAGTCGTTAAACCCGTAACTATCGTTAGGAATACACTGTGTTAACATTTTCGAGGTTGCATGATTAGAAATCACATTCCGACTGTCACGTTCATGATCTGGTAAGCGACGTTCTGATTGGACGGATGAAAGGTCGTTCTGACGTGACCCCTAATGGGATGTCCTCAGATCTTTGTTTATCGGTAGCGAAAACTAAGATCTGATTTTAATGAGATTATGAAAATGGTAACACTCTAAGTGATCAGCTTCAGGTGCCGGTGCCTGGAGAGTAAAGTGGCTACACTTTGTAACTTGATGTTGCTTTGCGACTGTCGTAACTCTAATGTGGCTTTGAGGGTGACGGAACTCTACTGAAATGTTATGCTATTAGCACAGGAAGGACAAACAATCTCACCTTCTTTTGATTGGTTACATATGTTGTTGATCTGCATTGCGATTGGCTGCCATGACAGCCGACTTTTCAGATCGCAGTCGCCAATAAACCGCTCGGCACAAGTAAACAGTTGACTGTATTTTCTGAAACATATAACGAACCATCTTCAGTTGGTCCTGGAGTTTTGATCTCAGTTAACGTTAATGCCTGCTGATATCTACGCTCGTAAGTATGTCTCAATCCAAGGAACAAACACTAGAATCCTGGAAAACTTCCTCTGCCAAGTTAAACTTACCACACCAGGTGTCCAGGTGATCTCTCTATCTTTCTATCTATCTATCTATCTATATGTGATTTAATGAGTCGGAAATGGAATGTTTTGAAGCACTAAGAGAATAATATCCTTTCTCTGTTTTAAAGCAAGGCAGACCTGCATTCGGCGTCTATGTTCGAGGCATCCAGGAAGGTCAGCTTGGAACGTATGAGGCTGCTGATGTGGGGACAAGCTGCTGCCTCCTCATTGCTGCATCCTGCCGCCGAACTGACCAACGCTGCAGAACAAACATGGCCACCTACAGTTCCATGTCATGCAAACTTCTTCGTTGTGCCGTCAGGTGGCGGTCGTGCCTCGCTATTTCAACCCGACACCTGTCGGCGCCGTGGAGAAGTTTGGGTGTCATGGTGTTTGTGTTTTACCTATTCATAACAATTAATACATTTTATATTGAGCATCAAGTTAAATTTATTTTCAAAACAATTGAATGTGTGTGTGTGTGTGTGTGTGTGTGTGTGTGTGTGTGTGTGTGTGTGTGTGTGTGTGTGTGTGTGTGTGTGTGTGTGTGTGTGTGTGTGTGTGTGTGTGACTTATATAGTGGATGTCGTGGTTACTAGTGGAATCAGATGCAATGCTCCCACCTGGTAAACTGTTCCAACAAGAAGATGCCCATAGTAGACATTGCTGGATGTCTCAAGTTAGAATTCTGTTATTTGTATTCAGATATGCGTTTATACGACTGCACAGGTGCTGTTGACGCCCCCATTGATAGACTTCTTCAAACAGTTCAAGAATGATAGATCAAAGCAGACCTACCGAGAATAATCTGATTCTGAATAATGTTGTTACATCCCAGCTCCTGTAGAAACACGGAACCAAACACAAGACCCAATACTTAGACATTGAAGTCGTAAATCGACGTGAAGAGGCAGTGATGTAGAGACGTGTTGTGAAGAAAGAAGTACATCACGTGACGTGTGATAGTACTGATACACCACGCTGTATCATTGAGGATTTGACTTTAGTATATGCACAGCTTCACGCAGGACACAGATTGACCTATCGTTAGAGTTGCACACGAAACATGAATGCAAACATCCCTTGTAAGTTCTTTAAAGATCTGAGTTAACGTTCCCATGGCAATGAGGATTAACTTTAAGCCTAGAATTGATTAAATGGCTAGCTTGGGATGATCCGGATATTCTGTGTGTATGATCTTTCAACACATGATCTCTCCACCTCCAACACGCATGATCTCTCCACATCCAACACACATGATCTCTCCACCACCAACACACATGATCTCTCCACCTCCAACACACATGATCTCTCCACCTCTAACACACATGGTCTCTCCACCTCCAACTCACATGATCTCTCCACCTCCAACTCACATGATCTCTCCACCACCAACACACACGATCTCTCCACCTCCAACTCACATGATCTCTCCACCTCCAACACACATGATCTCTCCACCACCAACACACATGATCTCTTCACCTCAAACACACATGATCTCTTCACCTCAAACACACATGATCTCTCCACCTCTAACACACATGATCTCTTCACCTCAAACACACATGATCTCTCCACCACCAACACACATGATCTCTCCACCTCCAACACACATGATCTCTCCACCTCTAACACACATGATCTCTCCACCTCCAACACACATGATCTCTCCACCTCTAACACACATGATCTCTCCACCTCAAACACACATGATCTCTCCACCTCAAACACACATGATCTCTCCACCTCTAACACACATGATCTCTCCACCCCCAATACAGGACCGGCGATTGTAACAGCGTCCATCGTCCCGATATATCTAATGGGAATGTGATGTTGATGTTGCTGGATTACTAAGTAATGGACAGAATAGAAACACGTGTGTACAATCCGATATCTATGAGCAATTCTGATGATATCAGTGCAGCTCATTAGTGCTGAAAACCAGTGAAGAAGGCTAGAATTGGTCTTCAGCAACCCAGGCTTGCCGCCAAAGGCGACAATGCTTGTCTTAAGAGGCGACTAACGGGATCGGGTGGTCAGGCACACTGACTTGGTTGATGCATGTCATCGCATCCAAATTGCGCAGATCGATGCTCATGATGTCAGTCACTGAATTGTCTGGTCCAGACTCGATTATTTACAGACCGCCGTCATATAGCTGGAATATTGCTGGGTGCGGCGTTGAACAACAAACAAACAAACACTGGTGGAATATTTGAACGATTCTCTTCACGTGTTACGGTGAATAATACATGTCACGGTGACCCGTGCTTCAATGGATCGTTGGTTCAATGTAGCGTGACTATTCAATGATTTCACGAGTGACATATTTTCCGCAATCACTCTTACCGAGTGGGTTATTCTATTTATTACCCATATTCATATTAAAGACATGTTTCAAGAAAAAAACAGTCAACTGTCGCCGATCAATAATCAGTTGTTTTGTATCAATCCGCGTGTGAAAAAAACACCGTCCACTCACTCCAACCGCATTACTCAGTTGATTGTTTTTTTCTTGAAACATGTCTTTAATATGAATATGGGTAATAAATAGAATAACCCACTCGGTACGAGTGATTACGGAAAATATGTCACTCGTGAAATTAATGTGGGTTAAATTACCTCGTGGGTTATTCTATAATTATGTCATACAAGTACTCGGGTATTCCCGCCCATTCCTTGGGAAACATTAGTGCTAAAGTAGCTTCAACGTTCTAATGTATGATGGCGGACAGACAGACGATGGACAGACAAACGATGGACAGACAAACAAGGGACAAGCCTCCAAGACTTGAATGCTCACATATTAACCAATAGCACACTGCTACAAGTTCAAATGACCAATGCAATTTTCAATATGGCTCCTTGGCGGCCATGTTGGAATTTTATGATCGTTAATGACTAAGGGTCATATATGCGATTTCATAGATGTTAAAGCGTACGTCGACAAAAGACAAATAAATGTCTTCGGACAGGTAGACATGTAGCATGCACTGGAATTCGTGAAGGATGATCGTCTCTTGTCAACTCACTGCACTCTTTCCGTGACCTCACTACACTCATGACATGCACGGACACCCTCTGGGGGGGACAGGTCAACAATTCGGTTAAAGGGTAAACATTGGTTTATTTATAAATATAGTGTATCCTGAACGGTAGACATAAGCGCCATAATATTTCCTCGTCGACAGGGCAGAGTTTCCGTTTGTGAATCATCATGAGAGAGAGAGAGAGAGAGAGAGAGAGAGAGAGAGAGAGAGAGAGAGCGTGTGTGTCTTTACTATCACGCAAAAGTTATCACGCAAAAGTTGTCTTTGTCTTCGGTACTTGCGCAACGTTATTGCTGTCCAATAATTGTATGTAATTAAATGTTATTGCATAAAATCGCTTTTCCCCTAAAACTGATATACATTAAAATATCAGATTGTTTTTCTTCGATTTAGTCAGTTGAGGAACGATAGTTAAATTAAAACCACAAAGTTTGTCGGAGCGTTAGGATCAATACATTTGACAGTTTTATTTTTTTTATTTTGGAATATATAAGATCATAAATCGTAAATAGCAACATGAATAGAACATTAATTTATCATTAATTATTCGTATGAAAATTATGGTGGTAAAAAATATGAAATATATCGCACATATATCTCGACATCACATGAAACCTTTCATGCGTTGCATCAACACGGCGGAAAACTCTTTGTTTGTCAGATTACATTTACAATAAAAAAAATTTCGCCCAAATATTTCACTTGCCGTGCACTCCCGGTGTAATATATCGAAAAGCTGTTCAAGGCTGAATGAGATAAAAATGCTGATTTATCGTTTAAGAATTAGGCAAAAAAATATAATTTCCCGAAGAAAATTACATTGTTAATTCAAATTTAAATTCAAACAAATTACAATGAGAGAAAAAGTTATTCAAAATGTTATATCAACACAGACACATTTAGAAGAAGAAAAAATATCGTTCACTTCGTTCCACTTTTACATGCTTCACTATTGTTTTTGCGTCATGTGCGGTTACCTCCCTACCGTGTTCATTAACATCGTTGGCAACCCGTGGAATAAGCGCGGTAGATTATTCAGGGCCTCCCTTTTATTCTGGTGAGAATTTCTTCTAACAGATTTGATAAATTTAGGGATTTCGTTAAAGAAACAACAGCGCAGCTTACAAGATAACGGGACACCAAAAAGGACACAGACACCTGTCGAAAAAAAATAGAAAGGAATGAATTTTCTTCACAATTACCCATAAACACCCATGTGCCCACTGAATGGCAAAGTTTCTTTGTCAGATAATTGTTGGTTGCAATATAATTGATATAATCATCACCGCTATCTTACTTTTTATGCATAATGGAATATGTTTCGGTGGATAATCGAGACTGTTGTTTTTTTCTGACGTATTATATTTAGTATCCGAATGTTACATAGATTTTATTCATATGTTTGTTGTTTAACGCCGTTCTCAGCAATATTCCAGCTCTATGACGGCGGTCTGTAAATAGTCGAGCTGTGGCAGGGGAGGGGCTACTTTAAAATAAATACTTTTTTTCAAATAGAAACTGCAAAAAATAACTGGTTCTCAGGTTTCTTCTCCTTGAATATATTGTTCAATGGACATGCTGAATGCCCTTAAGAATAAATTGTCACAAAAAGAGAGTGCATGTTTTGAAAACAATTCCAGTGGTAATCTATAAGAAAAAAAAAGCATTGAGATTGAAAGTAAACGGAAAAATGTTTGAAGCTGTTAAAAGTTTATACAGCAATGCGAAGTGCGCTGTGAGAGTAAATGGTTTGTTTTCACCTTGGTTTAAGGCCCCACGGGGACTACGGCAAGGATGCCTTGTCTCTCCGTTATTGTTCTCTATTTACATTAACGATCTGGCGGCCAAAATAAAAAGCATGAGCTGTGATGTTGACGTAAATGATTTAAATATTGGTATTATGTTAAATGCTGATGATATCTTATTATTGGCGCCCACGGAGAACAAACTGAAAAATATGTTAAACGTGGTCAATGAATGGTGTCAAAAGTGGAGACTTACAGTTAATCCTACAAAAACTAAGATTGTTCATTTTAGGCCTACCAATACTAATTGCTCCACAACCAACTTTTCAATTGGAGAAACTCTTTTTAAGTATAGTAACAATTATAAATATCTTGGTTTGTGGCTCAACGAACACATGGACTTTAAGTTCACAATTAATGAACTGGATAATCGGCAAGCCGAGCTTTTGGTGTTTTATGTACAAAATATTTTGATGCTGGTGGTTTTACTTATGCAATTTACACTTAATTGTATGAATCCTTGGTTCAGCCTATTATGCAATATGGTGCTTCCATCTGGGGGTTGTATGAACATAAAATGTTAAACACTCTGGAAAACAAAGCATGTAAAAATTTTCTCGGCCTTCGACGTAATGCGTCAAATGTCGCCGCCAGGGGAGACATGGGTTGGAAATCATGTGTCACTAAGCAACGCATAGACGTATTTCGTTTATTGTTCCGCCTTAACAGTATGGAAATTACAAGATTGCCCCGTGTCATTCATGCTTGGTCAAGTAAAAGAGGGCGCTCATGGGAAAAGGAGGTTTACAAGCTAGCTAGAAATTTAAACGTCGTCGACTTGATCGATGTCCATTCGATGACACGTGGCCAATTCACTCTCATTAAGCAAAAATTATTTCAAGTGGATGAAACTGCTTGGTTTTCAGTGCTGTGGAATGATGCTAATAACCCTAATGGTAATAAGCTGAGGACCTATAGATTGCTTAAAAAGGATCTATCGCCTGAGCCCTATGTCTTATCAAATTATATCCATAGACACACCAGAAAATATTTGGCACTTTTACGCAGTGGCAGCCTCCCCATTAACATTGAAAAAATGAGGTACAGTCGTCCCCCTGTCCCCCTTCAGGATAGAACTTGCCCTTTTTGTTTTACCTCAGTAGAGACTGAGGTCCACTTCTTAATTGATTGTAACATGTATGATAATTTACGTTATGATGTAATGAACGCTATGTGTGAATGAATGCCAGATTTTAAAAACTTATCTTCAACCGAGAAATTTATAACATTACTAAGATGTGAACACAGGTGTTATACTCTTTGTAAGCTAATTGATCAAATGTTCCAAAGACGCTTGTCACTCATTTGATTCTGTGTGCGCTATTCTGCACGTATGTCATTATGCTTGCGAATTGTAGTATTTCTTCTTGTGATCAGTGTTATACTTGTAATGCTTATGTTGAGTGTCGGTGAGGATAAATGCACCCCCGTGTTGTGTGTGTGTGTGTGTGTGTGTGTGTGTGTGTGTGTGTGTGTGTGTGTGTGTGTGTGTGTGTGTGTGTGTGTGTGTGTGTGTGTGTGTGTGTGTGGTAATCTACGTATGGTGTATGTGTACGTGTGTGCGTGCGTGTGTGTGTGTGTGTGTGTGGGGGGGGGGGGGGGGGGAGCGTGAGTGCGTGCGTGTGGGGGGGGTATAATGTACGTATGGTGTGTGTGTGTGTGCGTGTGTATGGTATAATGTACGTATGGTATGTGTGTGTGCGTGCGTGTGTTTGTGTGTGCGTGTACTTGTGCGTGTGTGTGTGTGTGTGCGTGGTATGGTGTGGGGTGGGTGTGTGGGTACCTACGTGTTTGTGTATGATTGTGTGCGTGACTTTATAAGTAATTTGGCGTGTGTGTGTGCGTGTGCGTGCGAGCGTGCGTGTTCATAACCCAACCTTAATTTTAAACATTGTGTTAGTATATGTCTTATTTTACCTTACCCAGATCATGACGTTATAATTTGCTTTTATGTCTAAGTGTCTCGTAGGCCATACCTGGTCGGATGTTATATTTTACTGTTCGTGTACATGTTTTAGTACGAAGCGTATATAACATGTGACACTATAATAAACATTATTCTCTCTCTCTCCTATTAAAGGTAATTCGGACAAAATCGAATGACTGATTGCCAAACACACTATACCCACATGCACACTGCTGTATAAAAGTGCAATACTCCTGAATGCGACGTTAAACCCCATTTCACCCCCTCCACCCCATCCCCATCTCAACAAATGGCGGCGCTGTTGTCGTCCAACGCGGCTTAGTCATCATCAGATCAGCGCCGTGGTTGAGTGGACCACACATGTTATTTTAACAGGAAGTTTCGAATTGCCCCTCAACAGAACTCTCAGGAGCCCTATCTCAAGTGCGCACACGGGAGACTATTGCACAATGCCTCGGTTCGCGGAGGCTTCCTTTTTGTGAGTCCACACTGCGTCATTGAATGAGACGCGATAAAACGTCCGCCTGTTCCTTGTATCGACTTATAGTAAGATTTGCTTAGAGGTTTAACAGATAGTAAGTATAGAGGGTAGATAGTGTCTGTTTGTGGTACCTATACCTCAGCTTCTCAGCTGTGTGGCGCTTTGTACATGAGGGGTAGGGTTAGGGTTAGGGTAAAGTAGAAACTGACTCTACGTTTTCCTTGAAAGAACATCAGTTTGCAAATCATTGCTGTAGTAATTTACTTTCTATACTTCAAAGATTTATATCATAGTCTATTTTGTTTAATCCGAAAATTTGGTAAATATTGATAAGTGTGATGTATTTCTTTCCTAATATTTATATCTTGGCAAGTGAGCAGAGTTACATACTTATATCACCGATGTTTAAAACCAGCTATAAACATGTGGGGATATATAAAACTAGCTATAAACATGTGGGGATATACAAAACTAGCTATAAACATGTGGGGATATATAAAACTAGCTATAAACATGTGGGAATATATAAAACTACCAAAAAAACAAAACACATGGAGATATATAAAACTAGCTATAAAGATGTGGGGATATATAAAACTAGCTATAAACATGTGGGAATATATAAAACTAGCTATAAACATGTGGGAATATATAAAACTACCAAAAAAACAAAACACATGGAGATATATAAAACTAGATATAAACACGTGGGGATATATAAAACAAGCTATAAACATGTGGGAATATATAAAACTAGCAAAAAAACATGTGGGGATATATAAAACTAGCTATAGACATGTTGGCATATATAAAACTAGCTATAAATATTTTGGGATAAATAAAACTAGCTATAAACATTAGGGGATATATAAAACTAGCTATAGACATGTTGGATATATAAAACTAGCTATAAACACGTGGGGATATATAAAACTAGATATAAACACGTGGGGATATATAAAACTAGCCACAAACACACGGGATGTATAAAACTAGCTATACACATGTTCGGGTATATATAACTAGCTATAGACATGCTGGGATATATAAAACTAGCTATAAACACGTGGGGATATATAAAACTAGCTACAAACACGTATGGGTGTATAAAACTAGCTATAGACATGTTTGGATATATATAACTAGCTATAAACATGTTGGGATATATAACTAGCTATAAACATGTTGGGATATATAAAACTGGCTACAAACGTTAACAAATGGGGATATATAAACTATAAAATGTAGGTATATGAAACTATTTATACGCGTGTATATATGTAAATATATGAAACTAGTTACATGCATGTATACATGTTGGTATATTAAACTATTTATACGCGTGTATATATGTAAATATATGAAACTAGTTACATGCATGTATACATGTTAGTATATGAAACTATTTATACGCGTGTATATATGTAAATATATGAAACTAGTTACATGCATGTATACATGTTGGTATATCAAACTATTTATACGCGTGTATATATGTAAATATATGAAACTAGTTACATGCATGTATACATGTTGGTAAATTAAACTATTTATACGCGTGTATATATGTAAATATATGAAACTAGTTATACTATTCATCTCTAGGTGTATGTTGTAAGCACATACATGACTTTGATAATCATGGAATATCCATGCTTAATAACACAATACATCTTTCCTATAATGACATGTAAAATGTCCAATTCACAAAAGATAATCTTACCCCCTACTAGGCTAGCCGCCAGGACCATGAACTGCATCGTGTATACTCAGTCTGTGAAAGTCGGATTTCACATGCTGATATGTTGATGTTGTGTTGATAGAAGCGACAAGGCGACACATGGGCGGAACTGGGAGGAAATACTGGCGTTATCACTAAACGGAGGAAAATACGATGTCCTGTTTGAGCGCGACCCTCCAATTGTTGCCCACGTGACCACGTTTGTTGACAACAGTGTTGATCTATCCATGTACATGTAGCCGACTATATCTTATTAAACCACCCATTTTCCATTCTACCTTCCCATCCATGCATTGATCATCCATCAAACATCTTAATTGCCATCTATTAATGCTAATAAGCCTGTATGCATTGAGGAGAGAGTGAGTGAATCTGTTTTACACCGCTTTTAGCAATAGTCGATCCATATCACCATGACAAGAGGTGAGGTGATGTGAAATTGGGTTTAACGTCGCGTCCAAGATTATTGCACTTATATAGCGACGTGCATGCACGTGTATGTGTGTGTTTGTGTGGCTGCTTGTACTAGTCCGGACTGATGCCGATTTATAGTGCTAGCTCACTGAGATACCATGCCGCAGTTTAACATGAATACCCCACTTAGACACAGTATACTGACTCCGAGCCGACCAGTCCTTGTTTTAGCCCCTTAATGCCGAGCGCCAGACAGGGTAACAACAAGTACCATCTTTTAACGTCTTTTGGTATGTCGCGGCCGGGGATCGAACCCCGGACCTTCCGCTCTCCGGGCGGACGCTCTACCACTAGATCACGGAGGCGGTCCACCATGTCAAGATGTGATTCTGTGTACTAATGCAGCGGGAGTTCACACACGTTGATAGTGCTAAGACTGATTCATGAAATAAAGATTAAATGTTTCAGGACATTGATTTCCAGTTCATATATGAAAAGTATATTTTCTTACCCCACGTGTGTTTAAGTTCTAATTTTATCTTAAGTATAAGATTACTTTAATAAAAAATAATTCTAGGTTTTATCATAATTTAAAACCCGACCTACACGTTCTCATGAGTTTAGTTCAATATATGGGTAGAGATATTATATTTTGATTCAATCATCTACATTTCTCTCTATACATATATCATCCATGCGTCGCACGTTCATCCATTATCCATCTTCAACCAACCAACCAACTCATCCTGTGATGTCTTTACATGTGTTGTGTCGAGGAATGGTCCAGCAGCCCCAGCGGGACGTGTCTACATGTTACAACTTACATGTATGAGGTATATCTAACATGGTCTTTCAATATTCCAGACTCTGACTTGGACATCGAACTCAAGACTTAGAGAGACTTTCAAAAAGATTTTTGGTAGGCATGGGAAAAACGTATCAGAGATCAGAGTGATGTGCTCTGCCTTAAGCAGACAATTCTTAAGCTTATGGAAATGGTTCTGTCGCTATTATTTAGAGTGACCAGAGAAAAACGCACTTCACTGGTGCCCATTGAGAGATGCACTGAACGTTAGAGTGACCAGAGAAAAACGCACTTCACTGGTGCCCATTGAGAGATGCACTGAACGTTAGAGTGACCAGAGAAAGGCACTTCACTGGTGCCCATTGAGAGATGCACTGAACGTCAGAGTGACAAAGAGAAACGCACTTCATTTCATGTAGTGTTTTTCTTCCCAAATTATTGTTTTGGATAAAGGAATTTACTGATGGTATTGCTATAACTGACAACATGTTAAATATTACTTTAGTGTATTGTTTTATGATGATTTAATAGTAGGTGCTGACAATGATATCACACTCCATCGTCTTCTTGGTGCTCTGTCATTGTATCCGCTTATTTATGGAAGGGGGAGTAGGGAGTGCGGTTGGCGCTAGCGGGTAGGGGGTAGCGGGTAGGGGAAAATTAATATTGTTAAGAATATAAAATGTGTTCAAATTGGGTGACCAAAAACATGATGACTATAGAAACAGTAAATGCTTATACGCATTTTGGACTTATGGTGACATAATTGATATGCACTGGCGCATGTTGACAGGAAACGTCAACGCCAGAGAATAACCAGTCTCGATTATCTGCCGAACTAGTCATTTATGTACTTTGGGGTACACAATCGCTCATAAGGCGATATGATCTTTCAATAACAGAGTAATTTGTTGTTTTTGATAACAAGTTTGTACATGTAATATAAAGTTGCGGCGGAGAAATTGGGGTTTTCAGAAGAGGGTAAAATGGAAATCTCTGTTACATGTTTGTTAACTTTGATTCATGAGTGTAGCTTTGATTCATGTGTGTAGCTTTGATTCATGTGTGTAGCTTTGATTCATGTGTGTAGCTTTGATTCATGAGTGTAGCACTGATTCCTGAAGGTAGCTTTGATTCATGAGTTTAGCTTTGATTCATCTGTGTAGCTTTTATTCATGAGTGTAGCTTTGATTCATGAGTGTAGCTTTGATTCATGAGTGTAGCTTTGATTCATGTATGTAGCTTTGATTCATGAGTGTTGCACTGATTCCTGAAGGTAGCTTTGATTCATGAGTTTAGCTTTGATTCATGTGTGTAGCTTTTATTCATGAGTGTAGCACTGATTCATGAGTGTAGCTTTGATTCATTTGTGTAGCTTTGATTCATGTGTGTAGCTTTGATTCATGTGTGTAGCTTTGATACATGAGTGTAGCACTGATTCCTGAAGGTGGTTTTGATTCATGAGTGTAGCTTTGATTCATGTGTGTAGCTTTGATTCATGTGTGTAGCTTTGATTCATGTGTGTAGCTTTGATTCATGAGTGTAGCACTGATTCATGAGTGTAGCTTTGATTCATTTGTGTAGCTTTGATTCATGTGTGTAGCTTTGATTCATTTGTGTAGCTTTGATACATGAGTGTAGCACTGATTCCTGAAGGTAGTTTTGATTCATGAGTGTAGCTTTGATTCATGTGTGTAGCTTTGATTCACGAGTGAAGCACTGATTCATGAGTGTAGCTTTGATTCATGAGTGTAGCATTGATTCATGTGTGTAGCTTTGATTCATGTGTGTAGCTTTGATTCATGTGTGTAGCTTTGATACATGAGCGTAACTTTGATTCATGAGTGTAACTTTTATTCATGAGTGTAGCTTTGATTCATGTATGTAACTTTGATTCATGAGTGCAGATTTGATTCATGAGTGTTGCACTGATTCCTGAAGGTAGCTTTGATTCATGAGTGTAGCTTTGATTCCTGAGTGTAGCACTGATTCATGAGTGTAGCATTGATTCATGTGTGTAGCTTTGATTCCTGAGTGTAACTTTGATTCTTGAGTGTAGCTTTGATTCACGTGTGTAGCTTTGATTCATGAGTGTAGCTTTGATTCATGAGTGTAGCTTTGATTCATGAGTGCAGATTTGATTCATGAGTGTAGCATTGGTTCATGAGTGTAGCACTGATTCATTAGTGTAGCTTTGATTCATGTGTGTAGCTTTGATACATGAGTGTAGCACTGATTCCTGAAGGTAGTTTTGATTCCTGAGTGTAACTTTGATTCATGAGTGTAGCTTTGATTCACGTGTGTAGCTTTGATTCATGAGTGTAGCTTTGATTCATGAGTGTAGCTTTGATTCATGAGTGCAGATTTGATTCATGAGTTTAGCTTTGATTCATCTGTGTAGCTTTTATTCATGAGTGTAGCTTTGATTCATGAGTGTAGCTTTGATTCATGAGTGTAGCTTTGATTCATGTATGTAGCTTTGATTCATGAGTGTTGCACTGATTCCTGAAGGTAGCTTTGATTTTTGAGTTTAGCTTTGATTCATGTGTGTAGCTTTGATTCATGAGTGTAGCACTGATTCATGAGTGTAGCTTTGATTCATTTGTGTAGCTTTGATTCATGTGTGTAGCTTTGATTCATGTGTGTAGCTTTGATACATGAGTGTAGCACTGATTCCTGAAGGTGGTTTTGATTCATGAGTGTAGCTTTGATTCATTTGTGTAGCTTTGATACATGTGTGTAGCTTTGTTTAATGAGTGTAGCACTGATTCATGAGTGTAGCTTTGATTCATTTGTGTAGCTTTGATTCATGTGTGTAGCTTTGATTCATGTGTGTAGCTTTGATACATGAGTGTAGCACTGATTCCTGAAGGTAGTTTTGATTCATGAGTGTAGCTTTGATTCATGTGTGTAGCTTTGATTCATGAGTGAAGCACTGATTCATGAGTGTAGCTTTGATTCATGAGTGTAGCTTTGATTCATGTGTGTAGCTTTGATTCATGTGTGTAGCTTTGATTCATGTGTGTAGCTTTGATTCATGAGCGTAACTTTGATTCATGAGTGTAACTTTTATTCATGAGTGTAGCTTTGATTCATGTATGTAACTTTGATTCATGAGTGCAGATTTGATTCATGAGTGTATCATTGATTCATTAGAGCAGCTTTGATTCACTTGTGTAGCCTTGATTCATGGGTGCAGATTTGATTCATGAGTGTAGCATTGATTCATGAATACAGCTTTGATTCACGTGTGTAGCTTTGATTCATGGGAGTAACTTTGATTGATGAGCGTAGCTATGATTCATGAGTCTAGTTTTGATTTGTGAGTGCAGCTTTGATTAATGAGTGTAGCTTTGATTCATGAGTGTAACATTGATTCATGTGTGTAGCTATTATACACGTGTGTAGCTTTGATTCACGCATGCAGCTTTGATTCATTTGTGTAGCTTTGATTCACGTGTGTAGCGTTGATTCACCAGTGTAGCTTTTATTCATGTATGTAGCTTTGATTCATGAATACAGCTTTGATTCACGTGTGTATCTTTGATTCATGAATGCAGATTTGATTCATGAGTGCAGCTTTGATTCACGTGTGTAGCTTTGATTCACATGTGTAGCTTTGACTCATGAATACAGCTTTGATTCATGAGTGCAGCTTCGATTCATGATTGTAGCTTTGATTCATGAGGGTAGCTTTGATTGATGAGCACAGCTATGATTTAAGAGTGTGGCTTTTATTCATGGGTGTAACTTTGATTCATGGGTGCAGATTTGATTCCTGAGTGTAGCATTGATTCCTGAAGGTAGTTTTGATTCATGAGTGTAGCATTGATTCCTGAAGGTAGCTTTGATTCATGGGTGCAGATTTGATTCATGAGTGTAGCTTAAGTTCACCAGTGTAGCTATGATTCATAAGTGTA